ATTACTTATGTACTTTTTTCTGTTCTTTTCTTACCCATTTGACTCCATACAGAGGAGGGCCGTTCGAATCGTCGATAATCCCATTCTCGCGGATCGTTTGGAACCTTTGGGTCTGCGGAGGGACTTCGGTTCCCTCTGTATTTTGTACCGAATGTTCCATGGGGAGTGCTCTGAGGAATTGTTCGAGATAATACTGGCATCTCGTTTTTACCATCGCACCGCCCGCCACCGGAGTAGAGTTCATCCATACTACCTGGAACCACTGCGGTCATCGACAGTGCGTTTCCAGAGGTCTTTTTTGCCACGTACCATCCGGCTATGGAATGAGCTACCCTCCACGGTGTTTCCCGAGCGCTATGACATGTCCTTCTTTAAAAGAGGCTTGTGGACAGTATTAAGCGGTAGGCAGCGGCTTGGCTCTGCCCCTGGCATTGCTGAAGTCCATGGGCGACGGTAACCACTCACCATCAGGTGGGCCGTATGCTCGTCTGCCTACAAGGGCAATAAAAAAATAAAATAAAACCGATACTCACGTTGTCATTGGCTAAATAAACGGTTAAGAATCTAGAAGACATTCTAGTTAATAATGTTATAATTTTTTATAAATAATGAAAAAATTTCTTTCTTATTACGCCCCAGAGACATATTTTCGCGTTAAACTAATTCTTATCGTTTGGAAGTGTTTAGAGAATAAACGCACCTTGAAGAGTATCAAGTGGTGGTATCTACTTTATTGACAAAGATATTGGAATCCGATCACGCAACGCTGTGAACATTGCTATTTTAATAAAAGATATCGATTTAGTGGAATTACTGTTAGATGTTGAGTGAAAACCTGTCAATGGTTAGAAGTATTATAATTTATTAGGTGTAAGTACATTAAATATCTATTGTATTTTCTGTAAGTTTACGTAATAAATAAAAACGGAATAAAATAATATATTACAATGTTTATTCACATTAAACATCAATCATCAGGTTTACCACTGCCGCGAATTCTTGCATTTATCGATTTAGACAATTTGTATCTTGATTTATTGCTCGATTAGATAAATCTTGTGGCCGTGAATATTGCCAAAGTCTTTCCGTTGCCTTCCACAAGCCGCCGTGTCGCGTACTTGAAGTGATTTTATCTTTCTAAACAGCAAAAAGGTATTTTTGTTAAACGGTCCCATAATTTCATTTAATTAAACCTGCTTGTTGTTTTTTTTTCCGTTTAATCTGTGTAAATAAAAAAAAACAATGGTGATTTGTACGAGTGAAAAAATATCACTGTGATTTTTAAGATAACAACTTGTTTGTACTGCGTAGGTATGTGACATCCGTATAAAGGAATGTGAGAAAAGTGATAGATTCTGTCGGGGACAGATAGGTAGATTTGATATTGATGATAGATTATCGTATTGAGTTTTGTTTAGTGATCAGGGATGCTGAGTTGTGTACGGGGTCCTGGTTTAATTCTCCGTTGGAATCACTTTAAGAAATACATATATTCTAAATTCGATATCTGGATGTAGACCTTTTCCAATACGCATAAGGCAGGAGAAAATAGTAACTAGGTTGTTCAGTACATAACGTTTAGTATTTAGCATAGAGGATCGATAATAGGTCAATTATGTTTCGTTAGCCGTTTCAGTTCACCTACAGCTTTTGAAATGTTATTCATTAAAAATAATATCAGATATAGACGCTAAAAAGTTTAAAACTAACATCTATTTATTCTAGGAAATATCATACGTTCATTTGATGGACAGGAAGCAATGTAATCAAACGTTATTTATATCTGAAGGTTGGCTGCGATATTTGTAATAAATAGGCTGAGCTTCGGGAACTGTTGGTAACCCCAAGCACTGGTCATCGTTCTCGTCGAACCCGTCGCTTGCGACGAAGGGCTCGGCAAGTAAATTAACACATAGATTCAGCCAACTGAGTTTCCCGCCGGATCTTCTGAGTGGGTCGCGTTTCTGCGAAGCACTGCTCTTGCTAGGGTTCGTGTTAACAACAACGTCAGGTTTGAGCCCCGTGAGCTCACCTACTAGCCCAGTGACGCTGATGTGGTCTCTCTAGACTTAGCTTAGGTAGGAAAAAAAAAACTGTTGGCATAGTCTGGGCTCATTATTTGGACCCTGAGCTAAGATAAACTAAGAAAAACAAAGGAAATTAAGTTTTGCATAAACTATTAAAATAAACAAACACCTTAAAATACAGATAGCATTTATATATTTTTTAAACGTTCAAAATATTGTACACGTTAAAAGCAAAAGATATTTAAGTAGGTTATACACCGAATTAAATTTTTCATAATATGATGAAATATGTAACTTATTGTTGAATTAAAAAAAAATTATCAAGGCTTCACGCAAGAATAGTCTTTGTCAATGCCACAGATATTATAATAATTGAATAAGTACTTGTGCAATGTGATGGGTTTTTTAATTTATTTGAATTTGATTTAAAAAAAAAGGATTCATTAACAATTAAAGAGACAGTTTAATCTCGCGATTATTTTAAAAGAGTGAAAAAATTTTATTGTTTAAAGTGGCTTGATCATTATTAGATGGAGCGACGACCTGCGCAAGGCAGCTGGCAGTAACTGGATGCGTAGAACCGAAGATCCGTTTCAGTGGCGAGCTTTGGGGGAGGCCTATGTCCAGCAGTGGACTGCCGCAGGCTGATGATGATGATGATGATCATTATCAATGTCAAGATTTTACCAACATGCCAACTGATAATATTGACTTTCATAGCATGTGTATCTTTCGGCCACGACCCACACAGGCCTTGGTGGTTAGCGTCGTTCATGGACATCGGCAATGCCAGAAGCGTAGCCGATCCGCTGTCTATCGGGAAAGGTTTTAAAATTCATGTCTTAGTCATCAGATCAAACTAGTGAAAGTGTATATATATATATATATATATATATATATATAGTTAATACTAGCACCGTATTTAATTTTGGAGCAAATTGATTTCTAGGAACCCGCAGTGATTCTATTCTGCTTCGGTGGCGGTAAAATTGGATGACAGATTAATTTCTAACTAGAGGTCCCGCAGTAGTTGAAATTCGACTATAATTAATTGGAATTGTATAATAAGTTTGTACATTATTATGATTGTATTTTATACTTCTATAATAACAAATTTCGCCAAGACTACAAACAATATTTAATTTTAGTCTATTCTCAATTTGACAACAGACGTCAAAAACAAAAGTTTGACAATAAATAGTATGCATGCGTGTGTGCGTCAAATACATGGTATGTAGGTGTGTAATGTTTTCTTTATTGATTTAATGTATATTTTATGCATTATTAAAAAAAAAATATTAGCATTGTGCACTTCTTCTCTATATTCTCTATAAGTGTGGAAAATTTCATACTCCTCCGTCCGCGCAATTTTCGTAAAAAGGGAAACAAAGTTTTTGCTTCACGTATTAATATATAGATAATCGACAATTATAAATTCGCATTCCGTTTTAAGAACCCGCCCTTTGTTATTACGGCTTCCATTTCAGAATACATACACCAATAAGTACTTATATTGATTATTGTTTTTCTATACAAGTTTTTATTTGTGTCTTACCCTATGTTTCTAAATAAATATATTTTTTGTCTACCTATCTGCCAGTCGCTTCGAGGGTGAATTCTGGCTTCTCTGTGACCTCCGGTTTTTTATTTATACGGATCGAAAATTGCGGTGTCATTAAATTTACGACACATTCAAACTTTAACACACCGCGTTAAGCAGATCCCTTTACGAGTTTACGAATTATTGATAATAATTACGAAGCGGTAAATAATTATTGCATTGCTATTGCAATAAAATAATACAATCTTGTTTTTGTTTTATATCAGCCAGCGGTCTGAATACAGAAGGTAATCTTATCTTATTTCTTATTACGCTCGCATTTATGTATAATTGTTGTGTTTTTATGTGTTATTTACGTAATTATGTACAATATTGAACATTTTACATTGAGTGCATATAGAAATGAGTATTAACAAATCTGGTAGTAGCGTCAGTATTGCAGAAACAAAACTATGGAAAGCTATCGCTATGCACGTTATATTATGCAAAGAGAGGATGACCTTGTGGCCAAAAGGACCCTGGGTATGAAAGTAAATGGTTATGTGAAAAGGGGGCGTTCTAAAAAGATTCGGATGGACTGTGTGAAAGAGGATATGCCAGAGAAGGATCTCAGTGCAGAGATGACGTATTATAGGTCTGAATAGAAATAGAGTAAATGCGGCGCCTACCCTACATATTGGTATTCCACTATTCTATTGGCAAAAAGATGAACATTGAATTTTGTATCGTATACTAGCGATTCGCCTTCGCTTCGGGAACTCTTAATTTCTTATTGATCTTATTGAAACTCTTATAATAAATTATTAAGGAGCCAGTTAAGCAAATAGGCTGGTTTTCCAGATGTCGAATATCACGCTCGACTGAGGAATTATAAATGAGTAAACTAATGCTTATTAGTATTTTCTTCGGTCCTATTGAATCGTAGACGTAATTCAAACTATTTTTGTGGATTAATCTTGACAGTTGTAGAAGCACAATAATGTTTTAGCGTCCGTGACCATAAAAACTGTGAAGTATTCGCAACGTCGGAAAGAATATAATGACGAAAAAAAGACGCGAGATTAAACCGTATTATTTGCTTAATTTTTTTTATTAGCTTTAATTGTGCAAACGCTTATTATTGAAATAAATGATGATTTTTAACGCCATCTTGCGGTTAGTTGCCCTCAATTAAGAAAAATAGTATTGCTGTTCGCCAATAGATGTCGGGAAGAGTTGATTATTGAAAACACGAATAAAACAACATTTTCTGAATATAAATCGTAGCTAGATCGATTTATCGCCCCCGAAATCCTCAGTATACTAAATTTTATGAAAATCGTTGGAGCCATTTTCGAGATTCAGATTAATATACAAGAATTGCTCGTTTAAAGGTATAAGATAAGAAATCTCACTGATTATATTTATTGCAGGTCAAGTTCTAGATGAGCGATGCGGCGGAACGACCAAAAAGGACTAAAGTGCGCCGACAGAGGTCCATCTATCAAGTGCACTATAATATCGAGAAACGCAACGACGAGCTGATGACGAAGCCCCTTGCCCTGCAGAAAGGGCTTGAAATCCAAGCCTACGATCTGCAGGTAGCCGGCCACAGAAAGACCGAAGACACCAAGTACTCAGGTACAGTGTATTATGATTTATGAAGGATTTTATAAACTCACAAAAAAATCAGGCTGTTATGGGCTTGATGTCTTTGCTCCTGAACAGACGACTTTTTTTTTAAATTTCAGTTCAATAAAATCACGGGCTCTATTGCGAATTTGTATGAGAATCTAATAGAAATAATCTATAATAAATATCTGTCACGATTACGACATTAAAAACAATAAAGTACATTAATTAAGACTTTTGACAGCATTGTAATTATTATCTCAATAGTATAGAGAGAGAGAGAGAGAGAGAGAGTGCGTAGAATATCTCACTATCTCTCTCACACGCTCGATAGTTTTGACGTCATCAATTATGACACGAATAGTTATTTTTGATAACATTTTAATGTGTTTTTAATGAAAACAACAATTACCCTATTTCTAATTTTGTAATTAAAACTGATTGCTTACAATTTGAAAAGCAATATATGATTATCTGATTTGCTTGAGTGAATACATTACATTTTATCCAATTAGTATGTTGTTTAACATACCATAAATAACTAGGTTGGTCAATTATCAGCTATGAGATTTTTTTAACTAGTTTAACTTAGTCTTATTCTTCCTATCCATTCATTTTAATAGGTTGCGAGAATTTACTGGGTTAAAAAATACAGATTGAATAGAAAGACACCGAAATCGATCTTAAATTGATTACCTACCTCAGTGGTCGGGGAACCGGGGTAAATGACCCCAAATGGGGTAAAATGAAATTTTGGGGGGTAAAAATGAAACTTTTGTGAGTAAAAAGTCTATATTGAAGTGGAATTCTTTAAAATCGTTGTTATTTCAAACTCGATGAAACGAAATGAAACGAAACGAAAAAATTTTTTTATTTTATTTTTCAAAATTGTCATGGCGTCTATAATATGAAAGATGCTAAAAAGAAGGGATTTAGTTTTTTTTATTCTTCGCCATGGGGTAATATCAACTTACCCAAAAATATTTTGGGTAATAATTAAAAAAGTTTCCCGACCGCTGACCTACTTATACTGTTTTCATGGTCAATACCCGTGTGGGAAATACTTATTACGTTCTCTTTGCAATTCATTGCTTGGTACAACAACAACAATAAGCGCATGTTTGACGTACCAATGTTTTTTTTTTAAATTTCTTAAATTGGTGTACGTGCTCACAGCCCACCTGATGTTAACTGGTCACTGGAGCCCATAGTACAACGTAAATGCAGTATAGCTACAACGGCTGCCCCACCCTTCAAACCGAAACGCATTACTGCTTCACGACAGAAATAGGCGGGGTGGTGGTACCTACCCGCGCGGACTCACAAGAGGTCCTACCACCAGTAAATCGTAACAATAGTTTGCCATGCCATCAGGTTTATTGCAATGCAGTAACGGAACAATCCTGAAACCCATAATCAAAGAGTCCCAGAGACGCGAGGTAGATTTCTACGAGCGCATGTGGTCATCGTCCGATCCTGACCTGGTGGAACTTCGAAAATGCACGCCCAAGTATTTCTACTGCAAGAAATACACTTACAATGGCTACGAACAGGAGTATATTATTCTGGAAGATCTGACGAGGAGGATGCTCGAGCCTTGCATCATGGATGTTAAAATTGGTAAGTGCTATTAGTCTCTGATGTTGGAAGAAGTAATGTCCCATCTACTATACGAGTAGCCAAGCTAGAATAACTAAAACTAAACAAAATTCCAGCTTGGCTACTCGTAAATATAGTAGACGGGACATTGCTTTTTCCAACATCTGATTGTAGCTATCACGGAATATAAGTTTAGAACAACAATGTTCCCTCATTTCGGACCCTCCCGATCCACTAACGGTGCTTTTAGGTACCTCAAGCACCGGTCATCGTTCTCGTCGAACCCGTCACTTGCGACGAAGGGATTGACGAGTAAATTAACCCTCAGACACAGCCCACTGAGTTTCTCGCCGGATCTTCTCAGTGGGTCGCGTTTCCGATCCGGTGGTAGATTCAGCGAAGCACTGCTCTTGCTAGGGCCAGTGTTAGCAAAGTCATCAGGTTAGAGCCACGTGAGCTCACCTACTCGTTCTGTGAATCTAGTATAACCCCTCGAGGTTACTAGAATATGTAGGAAAATAAATAAATTAAAATAACATTCGGACCCTCGGTCTACAGAATTACACCCACTGAGAGAAAAACCTCTTTGTCGTATAATCCCAAAATTCTTCTTATATTTCTGAATATAGTTTCAGCTCTGCGAACATGGATCGTGGAGGAGAAACGTATTTCTTAACAGGCTTTTACTTAATTTACGGCCCAAATGGAGTTAAGTAGTTCCGGGAACCCATAACCATCAACAACGCAAATGCCGCCCTCCATCTTGAGACACGAGTTCTAAGTCTCAGTTCTAAAGTACAACGGCTAGCCCACCCTTCAAACCGAAACGCATTACTACACATGTAGACTCGCAAGATGCCTTATCACTAATGTTTTTACCACAAACATAAACGCACGCACGCACGCACGCACACGCGCACATCCACCCGCATGCACACATACACGAACACACTCACGCAAAATAGATTTTCGAAGAACAGAAAAAAACGTAGTAACTATAAAAAGGTTTTACTCTAAAATATGTTTTACAACAGAAATTACACGGAAATACTCGACAAGAACTCGACGACACTCGACATCGAATTCGTGATTCGAATTCGTGATTCTTTTAACAGGCAAAAGAACATGGGACCCGCTCGCCACAGAGGAGAAGATTAAGAACGAGCAGGCCAAGTATGCGCTGTGCAAGCAGCAGTACGGCTTCTGCATACCAGGCTTCCAGGTCTTCAAGCTGAATAGCGGGAAACTGCACAAATATAACAAGGAATACGGCAAGAAGCTCCACGGGCAAGGCGTGCGGGACGGTGAGATATTTACAATTCACTCTCCAACATTCCTTCACCCTCTGAGTTTCTCACGTAGATTCAGCGAAGCTCTGCTCTTGCTACTAGTTTTAGCAAGTGTTAGTTTAGCTTACTGCCCGTCGGCGTGTAGTTGAAATAACCCATTATGCTACCAACGATTAAGCAAGGAAAAAAAAAACCGGCATTGGAAAATTAATTTTCTAGCAAAATCGCTCTTAGACAATACTGTGATACCAGACTTTGAATAGGTACGCGTCGGTCACAGGAACTTCCCGCATAGCCTCATACAAGTAGTCGGTCCCGATCATCCTCTTCGGCCAACCTATACCCTGGGCCAGGAAGGTCAAGTACCTGGGAGTCACCTTGGATGCATCCATGACATTCCGCCCGCATATGAGAAATCAGTCCGCGGCCGCGTCGCGTTTAACCTCGGCAGACTCTACCCCATGATCTGTAAGCGGAGTAAAATGTTCCTTCGGAACAAATGTCCACGATTGACTTCCACGGTGAAGGAATAACATGTAACATAGACATCCATAATGCAAATGCCGCCATAAACCTTGAGATATGAGTTCTAAGGTCTCAGTATAGTTACAACGGCTGCCCCACTCTTCAAACCGAAACGCATTATTGCTTCACGCTAGAAATAGGTAGGGTGGTCGTACCTACCCGTGCGGACTCACAAAAGGTCCTACCACCAGTAATTGTATTTATTTGTATAATGTAATGTTCCAGCCATAAAGAACTACCTGAACGCGATAGGCGGCGAGCTGTGTCGCGCGCTGCTGCTGCAGATCCTGTCGCAGCTGTGGCGCGTGCAGCGCTGGGCGCGCGCGCAGACGGCGCTGCGGCTGTACTCCGCCTCCGTGCTGTTGGTGTACGACGCCGCGCGCCTGCGGGACTGCTGTGCCGACCACGACCTGCTCATGTGAGCACTTTTATTTTCCGGCCTGGGGCCGAACCTCCTACGAGGTCCCCGCGCCTAGCGGGCGCGCGGGGTATGTGGGACTTGACGATCTGCAAGGTGTTGGGAGCAGACCGCGGGCCCAAGGAATTTTAGGGCCCACCCACTAAACGACTCCCCTGCACTCTTCGCCCAAGCGTCCGATGCCCTCCGAGGTCAGAACCTGGATGAGATAGGGGGGTTACCGATGTCAACACTGCAACCAGACAGCGAAGCTCACCCCAAGGACGCCCGGCCGACGAAGTCTTCGAGGCGAATCGAAAGCTCTAAAACGTCGGCCGTCTCGGTACGGCAGCCCGTCAGGCCGCCCAGACGGTGCCGATGGTGCCGATGGTGCTCATGTGAGCGCTACCGCGGCCATTAATTTTTTTCCTACCTAAGCTGATAGCCTTGAGGGGCTATTTCAGCGTAACCTTAACTAGTAGGTGAGCTCACGGGGCTCAAACCGGAGTGATGCTAACACTGGCCCTAGCAGGAGCAGTGCTTCGCAGAATCTACCACCGGATAGGAAACGCGACCCACTGAGAAGATCCGGCGAGAATATCAGTGGGCTGTGTCTATGGGTTAATTTACTCGTCGAGCCCTTCGTCGCAAGCGACGGGTTCGACGAGGACGGTGACCGGTGCTTGTGGTGTCTAAAAGCACCGTTAATAGATCGGAAGGATCCGTAATGACATGTATTGGGCGGCCGCGGCCCGATGAACGCCATTCTCTTACTAAACCCGGGCGGTATTATTACTGTAGGCAGCGGCTTGGCTCTTCCCCTGGCATTGCTGGTGTCCATGGGCGACGGTAACCACTCACCATCAGGTGGGCCGCATACTTGTCTGCCTACAAGGGCAATAAAAAGGCGGTCCATTCTTACGACCGGTGCTCAGTATAAATAGACACGTTAATGGGTTTGATAACACCAAGCTAAAATATCTTCTATACTAGCCCACTAAATTTCTCGCCGGATCTTCTCAGTGTGTCGCGATTCAGTACTGACGAAGCTGCAATAGCCTCTTAGGCTACCAGCAAATAGGTAGGGAAAAGCAATTCTATTCAACATAGAAAAAGGCAGATATTTTAAAAAAGTTTATTTACAAATTTAATGCTTAACTGCAGCAAATACATCTGTCAGTACAAAACATTGTCCTCAATGCAGGTGTTTGTTCATTTCTTACGATATATTTTAGCGTATCGTAAATTTAAATAAATTATCGTTTTAATTATGCTTTGCTTTGAGACGAATCGATTCACGTAAGTTTATAGGAAATATGGCGAATTTCGAAAATATATAGATGAATCGTTTCTGGGTTTTTTTATTGCTTAAATGGGTAGACGACCTCACAGCCCACCTGGTGTTAAGTGGTTACTGGAGCCCATAGACATCTACAACGTAAATGCGCCACCGACCTTGAGATATAAGTTCTAAGGTCTCAGTATAGTGACAACGGCTGCCCCACCGTTCAAGGCGAAACGCATTACTGCTTCACGGCAGAAATAGGTAGGGTTGTGGTACCTACCCGCGCGGATTCACAAGAGGTCCTCTCACCAGCATATACTACCATCACTATGTATCAAACGATTATCGGATCGTTCGAAGATTATTACTATTTATTTAGATTGATATTTTATATTCACAGGACCCGCAAAACATGTCGTTCCACGCCGATCACAAGGCGTCAGTCCATACCTTCATTACACAGCGGAACTTCATTCAGTGGTCAGTTGTCCAAGACAGGTCCGGTCTACAAGAAGCTGTCTTCTGTTCCCCTGTCCCCCCTCCAAAACGAGCCCCCCCATCCCCCTTTAAACTCCCCCTGGAGCGAGGCCCTCGAAAAACTCAACCACAATCACTCCTTTGAGCATAACTATGAAGATAAGTTGTCTAAAATAAAGATGAACTATCGTGCCCTTCTCGACCAATTGAGTTCGGATTCTCCCAACCCTGACCCCTGGGGTACGGTAAAAATTATCGACTTCGCTCACGCGTTCTTCAACGAGGAGGAGGAGAGGTGTGTAGATGACAATTTTAAGGACGGTATAGATTCTTTTGTAGCGATCTTCGAGGATTTCTTGAGTGAAACTGACGATCAAATTATTTGATGATAAATGTTATTGTATATAATTTGAAAAAAAAAAGAAGAAAATAAGAACATTAATAATTGTATTAAGTTATTAACCACAGAGTTAAAAAACGTCAAAAAAAGAAAGGTTATTTCTGTGATTTTGAGGGATAAAATAGGACTGTTCCAACTATTTTAATCTGTTCATTTTGGAAGTCGTAAACTTGATTGAAATATTTAAATCTCACGTTTGTTCTATTAGTGTGCTTAGTGCGAGTTTTTTAACGTTCTCGATACTGTAAAAGTTTACTCAAATTTGTATGCAGTGTAACTTTTGCGCTGTTCTCACTTCTGTCAAGGTCAAACTGGCTTTATGGTTCGTAACCATGAAAACTTTAGCTTAGTTAAACTCATTTACTTAGTTAAACTTAGTACTCTATGTCATTTACTTAGTTAAACTTAGTACTCTATGTACCAAATATAGTTTTGAAATATTTTAGATTTAGGTGCCAAATTATGTGGTGTCAAAATTTAGGTATGATAAATAATTTTATTAGTAATTTTACTCGAGACGAATTTTTAATCGGTAGCTGTCGCCTTTTTAAATGAAGTATTTATAACCGTACTTAATTGTGTTAGGAAATTAATAAATTTTATAGGAATTTATTCAAGGATTTCAAAATGTCTTCTAGTATGTCTGTGACTTCATGAGTGTCTTGGGCCGATTTTAATGGTGTTTGTTGTGAGAGTGCTATTTTGTTTTTGAAGGTTTTTAGCTTGACGCTCTATCCGATTCTACCCCAGCCGTCCGGACCGTATTTTTAATCGGGACACAATCTACTTAAAAACCTTACTGTTATATAGTTAACTATATGTTTGTAATCGACATGTTAATTTTAGATGTTTGTTAAGTTTTATGAGGTAGTAACGGCGATATCCCGTAATGTTTTGTAAAATACTTTATTTAAAATAAAATAAAAATATATTATGACAAGATTGAAAAACATTTTTTTTTACCTCTCCTCCTTTGTGATCTTATTTAGCGCTAAGGTTGTATTAAAAGTCATGTCCGATTTAATAAGACCCACCATTTTACTGATGAATATAAAAACGTGTTCACTCCCCAAAGGTCTTCGCGGTGTCAGAATCGAACCCTCAACAAGGTTCAAGCGCGCTAAGTACTGCGTCACTAAATTATTATCGCGCTCCTATTCATTGTGCTTAGTGCGAGTTTTTTAACGTTCTCGATAGCGTAAAAGTTAAGTCAAAGTTGTATTACGGGCTCTACATTCGCCCGCGAACCGCGGCCGCGAATCACGGCCGCGGTTCGCGCATGAACACGACGTGAAAAACATAGCCCTCTACACACGCAACCTTTCGCATTTACGTTCGCGCATTTGACTGAAATGGACGTTGAAGTTGCTGCTGCTCTGACATTGTGCGCCTTAGCGTGTTACAATTATACGTTTATAAAATCAAAAAAATAAATGGAGGAGAAGAAGGTGGTGGATGACACAAATCCATCGCAACAATCCTTAACTTTTTTTCTATACGTTCTGTAGCTAGACATTAAGGAATCCTTTTTCTTCTTTAAATATGGCACAGGAATTTCCATAATTGCACTAATTTTCAGCCAGTTTAAAGGCTATTTTTAGAAATTGCATGTGATGAAGGAGTTATGTACGAAGGAAAAAGTGCAAGTACCAAAAGTTTGTTGCCCGTTTTCTCCAAAATTAACAAATATCATATCTCCTTCATCCACTCGTGTCTTCATTTAATTCATTCGAGAAGTTAAAGAATCCACCATAGGTTCAAGGCCCTTTAAGCACCGGTCACCGTTCTCGTCGAACTCGTTGTTAAATGTGTATTATCTATGATTATGACTGATAGTTCTAATTCATTTAATCAGTAATATAATTATAATATATTGATCTAATCCATAGACACAGCCAGCTCTTTCGTTTCTCGCCGGATCTTCCCAGTGGGTCGCGATTCCGATCCGGTGATAGATTTTGCGAGCAAATTTTCTCAGGTTGAGCCCGTGAGCTCACCTACCCACCCGTGAGTATCTGGAATAGCCCCCTAAGCTACCAACGAATAATTAGGGTTGTAGTGCATTATTTCATCATGAATATATAAAACTTTAAATAAATAATCTTCCGCATTCGCGTTCATCATCATAGTTTATTTAAGAAAACTGCCAAAATAATCATAACCAAAAATTAAAAATTACACGTTTTATCATACAAATATAAACTTATAATATACAAATCCTATGAAAAACTAATGTAGACACATTCGGCCGGAGTATTTTTTTTTTAAATGCAAGACAAGAATTGTAACATGTAGACAAAGATTTGCAACAAGGAATATATTTTTTTAATAAGATTTTAGTATGAAGTAATTAAGAAAATCACTTGCGGAACTTCAGAAACTTTAAACAATGCGGTTCTTGAATCTAAAATAACATCATAACGTGAAAAGACATTTTGCGCCGATGCAAATTAATACATAACTCAGTCCCGATCTCGTCGGAAAAAAATACCTGTAAGCTAAGAATCCAGTTAAGAATAATTGGATATTTATAAAGCGGAAAATGGGCAATTAACATTAAAACCGCGTCTGTATTATCGTGACGCCATTGCTAACGATAAAAGTACAAATTTGACCAAGCTCCTTTTTTCCTCAAAGACGGCTTCATTTAACTCACCTATTTTTCAACTTTATTCAATATTTTAAGTTTTAATACATAGACCGACTTTATTAATACGAAAAAATGGATATAGACAATTCAATTGAATGTAATTTTTTTTTAAACGATAACGTAATAGCAAGGACTGACAAAAAAATTTAAATTTATCAAAAAAAAAAGACAACCGGCCACAACATATTGTCATATTTAAAAAAAAAACTGGTTTGACCTGAAACTGTTTCCACATAATCGCCGTATTGTTTGGCTACTGTCAATAAGAATATTACTTGGTAGTTAAGCTGTTGCTAATCGGTGTCTTTGCCATTATGTCGTTCTAAGTGAGAAGATCCTAAATGAAGCTGTCGGCCTAACCATCAAGGACGCGACCCGTGCTACCTACTGTATGCACTTAAATCATATAGCAGCAGCATTACCTTTTTATTTACCTCCTCCTTCCTCGATGCTTCCTATCTCGCTTAGTCTCACTGGCAGAGTATACGGGTGTCTGACCACCGCAGCGGAGCGGAGAAACGGAAAAATATTAACCAATAAGATTGTACAAAATCATTTTGCAATCCTGCCATTGCCGGTCCCAAGCCCGGATGAGAAAAGAGAAGGGTTGGCGTCGGTATGCCACCTACTGGGCCGTAAAAATATAACGCTGAGCAACTAACCCGAACTAGGGCTTCAGTAGCCCAGAGGAACTAAATCGCCTCTGAAATTCTGCTGTGGAAGGACGCGGGAACCCACCACTAGCAATTTTCCCAAGAAAACCTTTACGTATGTATTCCGTAAAGGTCACGATCCTTAGCACTGAGGAACACGACGCACGGAGGCAGAGATTGGTTAATATTTCTCCGTTTCTCCACTCCGCTGTCTCGCTCCGCTCCAGTGGACAGACACCCTTAGACAGTCGTCAGCTTCAGTTTGATAGTCGAGAGAAATTCCGGCATAATTCGAATTTATAGTACAGACTACATAGTTTCGTAGTAGCAATGCCCTCTGTCGGCTTGTAGCTACAAAACCACGGGTGTCTCCATTTTTTGCGTATTCACGACACCAATGTTTATACCTACGCGAATTTCACCCCTTTTGAGAGAATCGTAGTCGGCAAAATTTCGTATAATTACAATAAAAACGCGGTTGAAATCTTGAATCATCCGTTGCTTTATTTGCTAAGATCAAATACTCATCAACTCCCTTATTTTTTATCCAATTTGTTAAGACAGACAACTCTCATATAAAACTTTTATTGAAACAATTTTTTTCCATCATTCACATTTAAGCTCCTTAATAACATTGCCAGCCATTGACAATTTTATGTGTTACCAAGGTAATGATTTTGTGAGACTGTTAACTTTAGCAAGCACTCCCAGGATGAGGTTCGGAGCTCACCCACCAGCGACGAATCATTATCATATTCTTTCATGTTGTATATGAGAAAGTACGGACGCCGGGATCAGAGCTGAAGGTAGATAAATGAATTCTGTATGTACCGCGTAACGAATTTATTTGAGCTTATACCGTTAAACGAGCAATTCTTGTATATATATACATATATATATATATATAATCTGAATCTCGGAAACGGCTCCAACGATTTTCATAAAATTTAGTATACAGGGGATTTCGATAAAACGATCTAGCGACGATTTATTTTCAGAAAATTTTGTTTTAGTCGTGTTTTCAATAATCAACTTTATGACTCTTCCCGACATCTATTGGCGAATAATAATACTATTTTTCTTAATTGATGGCAACTAACCGCTTTAAAGACAGAACAAGATGGCGTTATAAAAATAAAAAAAACATCTAGTTAACACAAAATCACGACGTTTTCCCTTGAAGGTCCTGGTCGTATTGTCGAATAGCGCCTAATAGCTCTCTATGTCATCCTCAATTGAAAAACTGGCTTTAACTGCTCTAATTTGCAAAACAAAATTCCACGTATCAATATAATTACAAAATAATATTAATGATTGCTTTTTCTTTCGAGGTTTACGTAAATGTTATTACATTTTTTTACGTATTAATAATAATCCGTGCAAAGTTAATTTTTTTATTCATTTTTTTTCCTTTCAAATATTTTTAATTACAAAAAAAAAGAAACACACACAAATGGCATAATATTATTTAAATAGCATTTTTAATCGTATTTTATTTCGTAACATTATCACATTTATATAGAGGCCGGTCGTGTCTCGAGGTAACTCCTCGCCCCTCCCCCAACCCTCCCCACCACCGCCTGCGCACGAGCTCCCCTGAGCGCGGCGCCTTGGAGCATGCACGCGTTCGTTGCAACACTGCAAAGCCATTGAGACTTCGACCTCATGGTATACAGCGAAATTCCGTTGGTGTACGTGAACATCTCCGGCATCGTGTATACGCACGCAAGAAACGGACGGCTCTAAATCTTTATAAGTCTATTTATCAGGAACTTGTTGGATATCCTTCAGGACTGACCGGGTCGGTGCTAGTGTTCCGGTCCGTAGAGTAGAACCGTCTGACGCAGATGCAGAAACAGGCAGGACGGTGGTGCCCAGCCGTGCGGGCTCGCGATTTAAAACGACGTTAGTATTTCGACTATCATAACACAGTACACAATGTCTCCAATTTGGTCAGACCATACCTGTCTCATTCACACGAGCTCAAAATAATAACAAGCGAATCCGGCACAAAAAAAAAACATTACAAAATCCAATTCTAGATCTCAAAAAAAAAAGTTCGCATAGATAACAATTTTATCACAAAAGAAAAATGTGTTTAAACAAAACAGAACCACGCAAAAATACTTCGTTCTGTTTTGGATAATCTCATTCCCCGCATACAACGCACAATAACCATTTCATATTTACAATTATAATTATTATAATAATAGTATTAGTATAATCTTCTTATCATCGTGTATGAATTAATCATTTCGAAATTTAACACAAAAAAAAATAGTTAAAAAAATCAGTAACAACACCGAGAAAACCGTGAATTTTTCTATCGAGACGTGCGAATTTTTTTTTTTACATTTTTATTACAAAAATCGATTTTTATCATAAAAAAAAAAACGATTTCTAATAACATTCATCAATAACATACGATTATTTTTTCTTCGTAAAATTGTATATAGAGCGATACAGGCGAAACGTGAACCTTGCTTGAGGTGCGAGTGGTCGAACTTGAGGTCGAAATAAATCCAATTGATTGGTGTAACAGGCGGCAGATATCCTTAAAAAATATCAAATACCTCATCTTGTTACACGACAAACAGACAGCACTGTTAATGAAAATTGCATATAGATATTTCAACGGACAAGTTTCGCAACACTCGCCCCGAAACAATATTCATGTGACGTCAGTATCACGTCTCATCTACATAACGTTACAAAGGACGGTCTCAACTCCTAGTCTATATAATCTTTTAAGCATTTAGCTAAAACGCTTCATTACAAATGCGTAATAAAAATATCGTGTGTCCTGCTCTCTCTCGCTGAGTGTCAGCGCCACGTGCGAGAGCGGGACGGACGTGGTTTCGAATTTCGAAATTCGAAAGCGGAAGTCTCATTGTGGATTCCTTCACGGCGTAGGTACCAACGAGTAGTTCGTAATTTAAAAAAAAAATTCACCAGATTATATAATAAATTTAACAAAGGTGTCCCAAAGAGAGGAGGCTAATTTTTTTTAATGGTGTAAGAAAGGATTACACTTTTATTTTAAACTGAAAATTCTTTGAACAATGAAAAATCTAAGTGTTATTGAAATTTGAATCTTAATTCATTTAGATTTACAGTATATTGTTGTGTAAAAACGAGATTACAATATAGATAACAATTATCTATTGTTCCGTTGTCAGCTTCGCCTATCGTCTCGCGTCACTCTCCGGCGACACGGCCGCAGCGAACCTGTACTTTCGAACTATCAATATGCGTAAGACTAAAAATTGGACCGTCTGTATGTAGAGCTGGACTGTACTATATCTTGGGCAGCTTGGGCGCGAGCAGCGCGGTGCCCAGGCCGGGGTGGGGCCGCGCCTTGTAGTCGTAAGCGCAGCCGTGGACCTCTGCGTATCTGGGGACGAAACGGCCAGCCGTTACGTGACGCCGTTACGTTCGCTATTCATTACGCCGAGTAAAGTTCTCTGTATAGCCCGCAATGGACACGCAACACGAGCGGGGAGCTACTGCCGGCCGTATTCGTTAATAGAGTCCATAGACGATGTGAACGTCGCCACTCACCTTGAGACATGAGGTCGGCTGCCCCGCTCATCAAACAGAAATAGGCCGGGTGTTACCTACTCGTGCGGACTCACAACACGTCCTACCCACTAGTGATTACGCAAATTATAATTTTCGTGGTTTTGATTTTTATGACACGATCTTCTTCATCGCGGAAGTCATTCGTGAACATTTGTTTAGTAACTCTAGTGCCATATATTTTTAATTTTTTTTATTGCCTTTGTAGAGAGACGAGCATTCGGCCCACCTGATGGTGAGTGGTTACCGTCGCCCATGAACACCAGCAACGCCAGGGGTAGAGCCAAGCCGCTGCCTTCAACAAATTATGAAATACTATTTTACTATTGTAGCTAATGGTTTGAAGGGTGCGGCAGCCATTGTAACTATACTGAGACCTTTGAACTTATATCTCAAGGTGGTTGGCGCATTTACGTTGTAGATGTCTATGGGCTCCAGTAAGCACAGTGTGCCTTGGTACCTGTGCGGCGCGCAGAAGCTGGCCCCGCAGCGGCACTTGTGCACGGTGGCGATGCTGAGGCGCTTCTTGCAGAAGGCGCAGCGCAGGCGGGGCGGCTTCTTGTCGGGCGGCGGGCGGTGCAGCAGGTCGTCGCTGAGGTGCAGGTGCTCGCGGTTGGCGTGGCGGCTCAGCGCCGGCAGCGCGCCCAGCGTCTCCAGCCGCGACGTGGACGACGACAGCCACGCGCCCAGCACGCCTCTGTCGACAACACAACACAACACTTATTTATCTGACAGCGTCGTGGCCTAAAGGATAAGACGTCCGGTGCATTCGTGTTGAGCGATGCACCGGTGTTCGAATCCCGCAGGCGGGTACCAATTTTTTCTAATGAAATACGCACTCAACAAATGGGTGAAAAAATAACATCGTGTAATAAAAATCAAAAGCGCAAAATTATAATTTGCGTAATTACTGGTGGTGGGACCTCTTGTGAGTCCGCGCGGGTAGGTACCCCCCCTGTTTCTGCCGTGAAGCAGTAATGCGTTTCGATTTGAAGAGTGGGGCAGCCGTTGCAACTAAACTTGAGAACTTATGTCTCAAGGTTAGTGGCGCATTTACGTCGTAGATGTCTATGGGCTACAGTAACACATACATCCACGCATGTAGCCATCAAGCACATATACCGACACGGATTCCAGTGCAATGGAGTTATCAATTTTGTTATGCATTAACTGATAATAATGCACCATAAGAGTCGTCTTTCGTCTCAGCTCTAGAGTATCTAATGCGACCATACCAGTCACATAAAGTGATGGATACAAGAGTTGCAGAGCTCAGACATCATGTTGGAGTCTCTTGTTATGGGAGGATAGCTGGACAGGTGGACGCACGTGCCCGACGAAGAGGCTCTGGCTAGGTAGAAAGTTCCGCCTATTAGGTAATAGCTCAAGGACAGCTGCTCCTGGGGAGCGACCACGGGTCGTTTTTTAAAGGGATTTTATGACCTGGTAACTAAGACCTTTAGGTCAAGTCTTATTTTTATTTATATTCTTATCTTTATGAAAAATGATAATATGTAGTGAAATGAAATGAAGATAGATGATTGAGAGACATTAATCAACTGAGATGAAATTTAATGATATGAGATGAGATGATATGGGATGAAATATAATCTCAGTAAAATAGTGGTTATTCACTACTGAGACTTTTTCAGTGGGCTCTTTGGAGGATCCCGAGAAGCTACGTCCAGCGGCTTTGTTTTATTTTCCCACATTTGTGCACTTTCACCGATATTAAACGGTTAATATACCACCGTTATTACACATTTAAACCTGAAGAAACACTAAATAGACAAAATAAAACAAATCACACGACTTCACTCCTCGTGTTTTCCGCTAAAAAGTCCTCTAGTACCGCGCGCGCGCGACTACCCACCTTTCGGGGAAATTAGGTTCGTATTCGTATCCAGTGTAGGCTCCGTCGTAGGTCGGCGTGAACGTGTCCGGCTGCGTCTCGTACTGTCGGGACAGCGTCTCTTCGCTTCGAGTCTTTTGTATGTCCGCTTTATCTGTAGACAAATGAGGCCGTCAGTGCAAGTGAGTTAACCCACAATTTTTCATAAAAACAAAATCCAAGCTGATAGACTTGGGCGGCTATTTCGGCGTAACCTTAACTAGTAGGTGAGCTCACGGGGCTCAAACCTGACGACATTGCTAACACGAACCCTAGCAAGAGCCGTGCTTCGCAGAATCTACCACCGGATCGAAAACGCGATCTACTGAGAAAATCCGGCGAGAAACTCAGTGGGCTGTATCTGAGGGTTAATTTACTCGTCGAGCCCTTCGTCGCAAGCGACGGGTTCGACGAGAACGATGATCGGTACCTCAACCTAAAAGCACCGTTAGTGGATCGGGAAGGTCAGAAATGACGTATTTTGAGCGACGTCGACTACTTTCCATTCTGTCCGCAAGATCGGGACTGTTTCATATTCTTGCTTATATATTGCAATTTATTTAAAATTTAAAACGTAGGTAATAAATATTGATGCAAAAGCGGCCTATCCCTAGTATCACCCATAGATAACAGACGGCTTTGTAAACATTATTTTTGCCTACGAAGCAGTGTAAAAGTAAATTCAGACCTCATTATCTCCACATTATGGTAGGCCTAGGCCTCCTTTGCGCTGATACAATAAAATCTTTTTTTTTACACTATTTTTAATTCAAATTTATTAAAATTTATTTTCTATTCTTTAGTTGCATTTTCTATAAAAGCGTATTTTGTTAGTTTCTTTAAACATTATTGAAGTGAAACTTCTTTAGGTGCATGAGGGTAAAATTTTTACAGATGTAACGTCACGCAGGTATGCAACGGAAGTGTCGAAAATTTTGAATACAGCGCCATCTATGAGATTTTTTTATACTAACGTGCATATGAAACCTCTTGTAGTGAATTTAAATTTAGGATTATACGTGACGTTAAAATATCGATTCACAGAGGGCGCTACCTCATACTATAAAAGATGATTTGCAATTATTTACTAATGACAAAATTTTACATATACTTAGACATTTCGGATAGTTGTATTTTAATTTTTGAAGGTTTCACTTCTAACACGTGTAAATTGCATACATGTTTCTTTTTTTATTTTTCATTTTTAGTTTAATTTCAATTTTCTAAATTTTTTATTTTTAATTTTTTAAATATTGTGTTGTCATCGGTCCTTAATAAGTATACCAAATTTCAAGTTAATCCGACGTTTTCAAGGGGGTCAAAATCATGTTCAAAGATTCCGTTACATACTAACATACTTACATAGTCTGAGAATAATAAAAGCGTATTAAAAATATGATTGGATCTTTATTTAGTGATTCGAAATATCAATCAGTAACTTTGCACTCCATTAGAGACGCCACAAAGCACGTTGAAGCCAGAGGATGGACTCTCTCTCTTTCCGTGACCTCGTTAAACTGTACTCACCGTTCCTGGCCGCCAGCTGCGGCCGCGTCAGCGTGAGGGTCTCCATCCTGCGCCGCAGATCCATCATCTTGCCCATCGTCACCGCGTTGTCGTGCAGCGCGCCCCGACACGGACCCTCCACTAAACTGTACTCCTTATCCGGCAGGTGACTGACCTCGCTCACTCGTGGACCTGTCAAAATCAAACATTACACATTTCGAGTTATAATTTGCGTAATTACTGGTGACCTCTTGTGAGTCCGCACGGGTAGGTACCACCACCCCGACTATTTCTGCCGTGAAGCGCGTTTCGGTTTGGCAGGGTGGGGCAGCCGTTGTAACTATACTGAGACCTTAGAACTAATATCTCAAGGTGGGTGGGTGGCGCATTTACGCTGTAGATATCTATGGGTTCCAGTAACCACTTAACACCAGGTGGACAGTGAGGTCATCCAACCATCTTAGTAATAAAAAAAAAGTTCGTGTATTAAGTCCTGTGTGCTTAGTGCGGGTTTTTTTAACGTTGTCGATAGCGTAAAAGTTAGCTTATACTTGTATCGAATGGGATCGTTTACCTACGTTTGCCGCTAGGAGCGCTGTTCTAACCGCATACAAAGTTGGATTAACTTTTACGCTATCGAGAACGTTAAAAAACTCGCACTAAGCACACCGAGCTCGTCCCGTATACGTACACTTGTTGTGGTCCAGCGGCGAATACGTTCCGTCGCGGTTCTCTCTGACGCTGAGCATGCTCACGCGCTCACCGTCTCGGAACACCAGCACCGTCATCTTACAGCCACCTTCGCGACTTGAACTTGCTCCTTCGTCTCTGTTAATAAAAACATACTAAATAGGTAAAAAATATTTACCATTTCGCTTTTTACTTTTAACCTATTGCATAGCTTTTATCGCGGGCTTTGAGCGCGGCGACCGAATCAAGATATTCCGTAACGAAAATAAAACCTAACACCCCCACTCCGCCTACCATGTAGCTCGCGTTCAACACATTCACACGTTGCGCTTGTGTACTGTTTGTGAATAAGCGCGCGGCGTGACGTCGCACTGCATGCGTATCATGAAAAGTCTGCCCATCTCTCTCTGGCCGGTCTAGCTTATGAGTGTAAAGAAGACAGTTAATGTTTTGCTTTTGTTAATGTTTAGAAATATAGCGTGGTCTTATTTTATTATTGTTCTAATATTAAATTATTATTGTCTAATTATAATTGCATAAGTTGAAAAAAAATGCTATGCAATAGCTTTACCGCGGCAGTCCCCGAGTGCCACACGTGTTTTTATTTTTATTGCTTAGATGGGTGAACGAGCTCACAGCCCACCTGGTGTTAAGTGGTTACTGGAGCACTGGAGCCCATAGGCAGCTGACACTCATACATATGAAATTGTTTTAATACATTTTTTGAAATGAAAACAATCCTTCACGCTTTCTCAGGCTTAGGACTGACAACTTGATTTATTAATATTAATGATATTATGTGAAACTAGTTTTGGCAAAATGTGTATGCATGTTAATGTTATTGCTATCATTTTCTATTACAATAAGTGAAAGGAGAAAAGAGCATGTTACAAACTGTTTGATAACAGGATGTATATGCTATCTTTTTCTATTTCTGTACGTGAAAAGGGAAAAGAGCTAGTTTTCCGACTGCTTTCTGTGGAACGGAACAACGCAACATATGGAATATTGCGGAACAGTTGTTTCGGTCTATAGACAACAGTTCCAAGTTTTTTCATAGACGAACCTGTTCCGTTTGACTGTTCCGATAAATACGCCTCACCCCTAATGCAGTATGCTTAGTGCGAGTTTTTTAACGTTCTCGTTAGCGTAAAAGTTAATCCAATTTTGTATGCAGTTGGAACAGCGCCCCTAACGGCAAACGTAGGAAAACGACCCCATTCCATACAAATATGAGCTAACTTTTACGTTAGCGAGAACGTTAAAAAACTCGCACTAAGCACACTAAGACCAAACTAAAACGCACATTTAATTACAAAGTTAAAAGTCGCGTATTAAGCGAAATTTAGTTTAAACCAAATGGCCTTTCGCATCTCGATATGTTTATTCAAGTATCGTCACCGCTAGAGAGCAGTCAAGACCGTCGATTGTTGAATCTATTTTAAAAATAAACTTAACGGAACATATTGATCCTTAAAATACATCTCGCATACATCGGTCCTAAAAAAAATGATTGATGCATCCATACGCGTTTCATCACCGCTAGCATAAGGCCATCACCGTACACGGCTTGCATTACGAAACGGTCTTAAAGATTTATTTTTAACATAAATCAATTTGTAACGATTGCAAAAAAACTACTTAAGCTACCATTAATTCATTGCAATTTTGATTTGCGTGTTAGTTTGTAAAATTAAATAAACTAGAGGTCCCGTAGTAGTCGAAATTCGACTATAATTAATTAGAATTGTAAGTTTTGTACACTATTATGATTGTATTTTATACTTCTATAATCACAAATTTCGCCAAGGCTACACTATAAAAAAATATTAATAAAGACTAACAATATTTAATCTATTCTCAATTTGACAACAGACGTCAAGAACAAAAGTTTGACAATAAATAGTATGCATGCATGTGTGCGTCAAATACATGGTCTGTAGTGTGAGTAAAGTTTTCTTTATTGATTTAATGTATCTTTTATGCATTATTTTAAAAAAATATTAGCATTGTGCACTTCTTCTCTATATTCTCTATAAGTGTGGAAAAATTCATACTCCGTCCGCGCAATTTTCGTAAAAGGGATACAAATTTTTGCTTCACGTATTAATATATAGATTAATCAGCTCTTCTATAAAATACCTGGCAGAACCCGATCTCGCTGCGCTATGAACTATTGCTATTTGGACATAAAACAACGATTTCTAAAAGCTCCTTATTCGCGCTTCATTCATTCGCGTTTTCACTGTTCGCGGATTAAAATAATGCGATTCAATTCCTATGTTCGCGGCTAAAGATTTCTTTGTTCGCAGATCTAATCGGTCCATACATATTGATAAAACGGATTACGATAGAGACACGTAAGTGTTTTGTAATGTACTCCGTACTTAAAAAATTACAAATATGTTAGTGGAAGTCTGAAAGTGGCACCTGTGAGTGACAGAGAAGTTGAGAAGTAGGAGTGGGTAATATCGGTTTTGCCGCGTATCGAATCGTATCTATATATCGAGGATCAATATCGGATATTGAATCTATATATTTTCTGAATCTATATATTGATGGATGCTAGTAGATGTTCTCGATTCATGATATTTGAGATTTGAAACGATACGCTGATATAATATCGTAGTAGATATAGATTTAAGTCAACGTTATACGGTTGGTTTTCTGATATCAATTTCTAATATGATCTTAAAGTAATAAAAAGAACATGAAAATAAAAATATCAAAAAAACTTTCCTTCATGCTTTTACCAGGCTTAGGACTGGCTACATTATTTTCAGTTTTTAGTATTTTGTGTCTTAATTTAAAATTACAAAATATACCAAAAGAGTGTATATTTCAAAAGTTTAATACAAACACAAGAAATAAACTCAATTATTTGGATTCAACTAAAAATAGAAAAATGTGTACTTTAAAAATCAAACACAAAAAACTTTTAAGTATTTATAAACACTTGTCCAAAAATTCTAGTTCAAGGTCAAAGCGCGTGAAATTAAATTCAACGATGCAAATAGGCTATACTGCATTCAAGTTAGGGTCGAAAGTTGAAACTTCTTTCCTTAATTGTATCCTGCTGATACGCTAAGAATAATCTACAGACATATGGACTTAAATATAAGGTTTACAATTGTATGGATAATGCCTGTTTCTGTTTCATTCATCACATGATATCCCTATCGTGCGCTCACTCACTCTGGCCGATTCGATACGAACCAAACGAATATTGCTGATATTAACGAATCGGTACGATATGCCGATGCGCATCACATCGAGCAATATCGTGTATCGGCTGATATCGAAATATAGATTTCGATTCACGAATCGGTCCGATATGGCGATGCGCATCACATCGAGCAATATCGTGTATCGGCTGATATCGATATATAGATTTCGTGCGGGGCGATATCGGATTCAACGATATTGCTGCGATATATAGATATTGAATCTATATACGATTTATATCACCCACTCCTATTGAGAAGTGCGCGTTTGGGATGGTATGGACATTTGATGAGTCGAAATGACAATGAGGTTGGTAAGAGAGTTTGAAATATGAATGTGGAGGGCTCGACGAGTAAATTAACCCAAAGACATAGTCCACTGAGTTTCTCGCCGGTTCTTCTCAGTTGGTCGCGTTTCCGATCCGGTGGTAGATTCTGCACGGCTCTGGCTAGGGTTAGTGTTAGCAACAACATCAGATTTGAGCCCCGTGAGCTCACCTAATCACCCGGCGACGCTGATATGGTCTTTCAAGACCAGCTTAGGTAGGAAAAAAAAATTACTGATTGCATGAAAGACGATATATGTAAGAGGGGAGTGAGCGAAGAAACGGTATAAGCATGTTGCGCCTACCCTTGGTAACTGGGAGAAGGGCAGGAGAATAATGATGATGGCTTACAAATTTAAAAACCCGTCAAAAAAGAATTTAAGCTGTTACTGCTATATACCTGTCAGTATCGAGCATTCTCTCAATGTCCCTCCATGGCTCCGGAGGGGGCAGCCTCCTGGTCGCGACGGGGCCTCCCCTCATGCCCAGCACGAGGCGCAATCTCGCTCCGGCCCCGATGGCGTGCTCGCCGAGTGACGACCAGTTCTCCAACTCCTTTAGATTGTAGACAAGGTGCTGTTGTGATACGGGAATACCTAAAACATAAATGAGAACAAATCAAATTCTAATAATTTCGTCTTTTGTTATTCTCAATCTAATGGTGTTCGTTTTAACAATAAACATCAAGGGGTGAAAGGGTTTTTTTATTGCTAAGATGAGTGGACGAACTCACAGCCCACCCGGTGTTAAGTGGTTACTGAAGCCCATAGACATCTATAACGTAAATGCGCCACCCACCTTGAGATATAAGTTCTAAGTTCTCAAGTACAGTTACAACGGCTGCCCCACCCTTCAGACCGAAGCACATTACTGCTTCACGGCAGAAATAGGCGGGGTGGTGGTACCTACCCGCGCGGACTCACAAGAGGTCTTACCACCAGTAAAAAATGGCCAAGCGGAAAAAAAAAAGTGTTAACAAAATATCTAATCTACCAAAAATCATTCTAAATAAATATCAATAAAACTCCAAACTTAAAAGCCGAGCCTAACATTCGTTTATTTTAAATGCATTTTAAAAACAGCAAAACGAACCTGAGGTCTGCTAAACAATACGGAGTCATTTCCGTGACCGTCTTGCTTCAATGAATTAAACGCTATTTAAAATTGGCACCAAATTGGCGTCTAATATAACGACCTGAGCGACAATAGCGACCGCAGATGACCCAAGGCCAATGTTAGACTCCTGTGATGTCATCAATCCACTTTGATTCGCCAGCCCACTGAGTTTCTCGCCGGATCTTCTCAGTGGGTCGCGTTTCCGATCCAGTGGTAGATTCTGCGAAGCACTGCTCTTGCTAGTGCCAGTGTTAGCAATACCTCCGATTTGAGCCCCGAGAGCTCACCTACACGCTAGGGTAACGCTGATATAGCCTCACAAGCCTATCAGCATAGGTAGGATTAAAATATTGATTCACCTTAGTTCATAGAAATTACAAGTTTAATATCGCCTTTCTGAGCTTATTTCGTCTACTTATTCGTAATATTATGAAAAGAATTAATAGTGTTCTCGGGTTTCTCTGGATTTGACAGTTCCAAAACTAGGAGACGATTTAATGTGATACTTTTAAAAATTAATTTTAAACCTTTGAGCTCGAACCGTCGGTAGATCGACTCTCTATTAATGCGTATAAAGTGCGGAACGTCGGAATACCGACTATTGCGCAGTTTGATTTTAAGTATTTATGTATCGACCTTATTAATAACATTTATAATTGTTTTGCTGTGAGTTTAGCATTTATTTATAAAATTTTTTATGATTATGTACTTTTTTCAAAAATCTAGAAATTTCTGCAAAATATTTGAAAATAAGCTCGGAACTATAAGGGTTATAGTCATAGTTGGAAACATCGTAAAAATTTAACGTTATAAATCCACGTTAGCTCCTCCAGAGGTCCAACCACTGCGATCCCAGTTACATATTGAATTAAACAAGGCAATTTCTAAAAGTTATCATAGAGTCGTCGTAAGAAAAGTGTGAGTCAGTTTGGAAGTATGCCAACGTATGCCACGTTATCCATGAAGTCATCACTTTCTTTTGCAATCCGAAAACTTGCACATCCCACGACAACTTCAATTTTAAGCTGTAGATTTTTTTTATTGCCGTATAGGCAGACGAGCACATGGCCCACCTGATGGTGAGTAGTCACCGTCGCTCATGGACGTCACCAATGCCAGGGATAGAGCCAAGCCGCTGCCTACCATTAAGTACTCTCCACAAGTCTCGTTTGAAGAAGGACATGTCATAACGCGCGGGAAACACCGTGGATGGGAGCTCATTCCAAGGCCGGATGGTACGTGGCAAAAAAGAACTCTGGAAACGCACTGTGGATGAACGTAGTGGCTCCAGGTAGTATGGATGAACTCAAGTCCGGTGGCGGGCGGTGCGATGGTAAAAACGAGATGATGGTATCATCTTAAACAATTCCACGGAGTAAATGATCGAACGGTCTATTTCGCTTTAAGCAGATACTAGAGTCCCATAGACACGGTAACGCGAAGGCCACCCAGCTGAAGACAAAGCCGTGCCTCAATTGTATTGAATGACGGCTCTTCCATAATACCCTACCAGTTATTATGTATGACGGCGCCAGGGGTGGCTGAGCGGCATTTTCTGTCATCACTCGTATTTGGTTGAACTTAGTTTATTGCAATAATAGTCAATAAAACCTTTTGAATAATAATTATTGAAACTCTCAACAAATAATTTTCACAATGACAGGGTACACCGACAGTTTCGTTTCAACAGACCGACTTCTGACTGAGACGGACTGCTACGACTCTGTCCACGTACCGCCATTTTATACTCTGGCGTTAGGGCGTCTACCCTACATTTTTTTGATATTTATCAAAACAACATTTTATCATTTAAAATAATAATCAAAACAAAGTGTTAATATTACTAAAGTCGTTATCCACGACATGTATATCAATTTTATGGGTTCTCTTGCTATTTATATTTAAATCGTTCGTCGAAACGTCTTTTGTACACGGGTTTAATTTGAAACATAATCCACTATCTGTTCTGCTTTGGACGGGTATGGTTTACATTCAGTCTCATATTATGGACAGCAACAGAACTACTGGACTTTGGGTTCGACTTGGTGTGGTCGAGTTTGGCGGTATTTTTCAGTGGGTCACAATTCCGATCCGATGGTAAATTCAGCGAAGCATAGTTCTTGATAGGGCAAGTGTTAACAAACTCTCTCAGGCTGAGCTCCGTGAGCTTTCCTACTTATGCGGTGAAACTGGAATAGCCCTCTTAGGCTACCACTTTTAACTGGTGGTAGGACCTCTTGTGAGTCCGCGCGGGTAGGTACCACCACCCTGCCTATTTCTGCCGTGAAGCAGTAATGCGTTTCGGTTTGAAGGGTGGGGCAGCCGTTGTAACTATACTGAGATCTTAGAACTTATATCTCAAGGTGGGTGGCACATTTACGTTGTAGATGTCCATGGGCTTCAGTAACCACTTTACACCAGGTGGGCTGTGAGCTCGTCCACCCATCTAAGCAATAAAAAAATAAAAAATAAAACCAGCGATTAGATAGGAAAAAGAACCTTAAACCTACGTAATAGAGTCTCTTTTTTACCTAAGCTGTTAACCTTAGAGGAATATGCCAGCGTCACCGACCGAGAGCTCACGGGGCTCTTACCCGAGGAAGCGTCTCGATACACGGGAGGACGCTCCAGTGCTCTTATAGATATTATTCCCCATGTTCCAAGGTAGCAGAAACAGAACATGCTGTTGTGAACCCTCTCATCGTGGCCGCCGGTAACTACATTCCCGATCATGCGGACAGAATGGAAAGCAGTCGACGTCGCCCAAAACACGTCATTTCGGATCTTCCCAATCCACTAACGGTGCTTTTAGGTACCTCAAGCACCGGTCATCGTTCTCGTCGAACCCGTCGCTTGCGACGAAGGGCTCGATGAGTAAATTAACCCTCAGACACAGCCCACTGAGTTTCTCGCCGGATCTTCTCAGTAGGTCGCGTTTCCGATCCGGTGGTAGATTCTGCGAAGCACGGCTCTTGCTAGGGTCCGTGTTAGCAACGTCATCAGGTTTGAGCCCCGTGAGCTCACCTACTAGTTAAGGCGACGCTGACATAGCCTCTCAGCTTAGGTAGGAAAAAAAGCTGTTGTTAATTTTTTACACACGAGAACAAGCTACCATACGGTATGATACGGTACGTGCCCAATGACGCACCATCGAACCCGGCACCTGGCAATATTTGGCATCGGAACAAAAACTTTATAAAACAAAGTTGACCTGCCACAAATCGTCAATGTAACAATTAACAAAAAAAAAAAACACACACACACACACATATATTAAAAATACGTTCGCACCTGTCGCTTTCATGTTATCGACGCGTGAGAAAATCATTCATGAATCATATGCGTACGTTTTTTTTTTTTTGTTGCTCATAAATACAATATACCTAATCTCGTTCGAATTCGTTGTTTATGATACGAAAATGGAATGTTGATAAATGAGGGACGGATGCGGGTAATATATTTACTTTTGGCGTTCGAATAAAATTATACATTACCGAGGATTTATTTCAAACAGGGCATAAATTATGACAATGAAAATTTAACTCAGGAAAGGGTGTTTTTTTTTTCATTGCTTAGATGTATGGACGAGCTCACAGCCCACCTGGTGTTAAGTGGTTACTGGAGCCCATAGACATCTACAACGTAAATGCTCCACACAGCTTGAGATATGGTTCTAAGGTCTCAGTATAGTCACAACGGCTGCCCCACCCTTCAAACCGAAACGCATTACTGCTTCACGGCAGAAATAGGCGGGGCGGTGGTACCTACCCGTGCGGACTCAGAAGAGGTCCTACCACCAGGAATATACTCTAAAAACTTTAGCAATTACTGATCATCTAGGCAGATGCAATCAAGGTTTGTGAATTAAAGATGGCGTAACTAGAGAACAGAAAGAATCTACATTCGGACATTGATGTACTTTAAGGCACGTTGTGGGTTGACGCTTTTTTTTTTTATTGCTTAGATGGGTGGACGAGCTCACAGCCCACCTGGTGTTAAGTGGTTCCTGGAGCCCATAGACATCTACAACGTAAATGCACCACCCACCTTGAGACATAAGTTCTAAGGTCTTAGTATAGTTACAGCCCCACCCTTCAAGCCGAAACGCATTACTGCTTACTGGATATACTGCTACGCTGGAGTCCATTAGTGCTTTTAACAAGTAGAGGGCCCGACAGTTACGCTATGAACACTGAGTTACTACTGATGGATCATGTGCTGAGAGACTGCACAAAAACGATTTTAAAGGAATGGAGGAACATCTCAGGACTAAGTAATTCACCGCTCTTATTTAGTTTATTCATCAACGACATTCCCCTGTCGCCGCCAACCCAGTTAGCCTTATTCTCCGACGACAAAACCGATTACTACTCGAGTAGAAACAAGTCCCTAATTCCGAGGAAACTCCGAACCGGAAAATGGTTCCGAAAATGGCGCATAGACATCAACTCAGCGAAAAGCACAGCAGTGCTATTACAAAGGGGAAACTGAACGCGTATTTCCTCCCGCATTAGGAGTAGAAATATCACACCCCCCCGTTTCCCTCTTCGGTGAACCTATACCCTGGGCCAGGAAGGTCAAGTGCCTGGAAGTCACCCTGGATGCATCCATGACATTCCATCCGTATATAAAATCAGTTCGCGACCCTTCCGTAAGCGGAGTACAATGTCCCTTCGGAACAAGGTGACACTTTGCAAAGTTTGTATAAGGCCCGTCATGACTTACGCGAGTGTGGTGTTCGCTCACGCGGCCCGCAGACACATAGACACCCTCCAATCCCTACAATCCCGCTTTGGCAGGCTAGCCGTCGGAGCTCCGTGCTTCGTGAGGAACCAAATCAATCCGAAAACACATGAAGTCAGCGTCGGAACGGCACTTCGATAAGGCTATGCGTCATGATAATCGCCTTATCGTTGTCGCCGCTGACTAATCCCCGAATCCTGATCATGCAGTAGCCAGTCACCGTCGACGCCCTAGACACGTCCTTACGGATCCATCAGATCCAATAACCCTTGCATTAGACATCTTTAACTCTAACACTAGGAGCAGGCTTAGGGACCCGGGTAACCGTACTCGTCGAACTCAGCAAAGAGTTCGACGTGCAATCTAATCTAAACATCAGCCTGCTGAGTTTCTCGCCGGATCTTCTTAGTGGTAGTACATTCATTCGCAAAGCAGCTACTGTTAAGTTGTTAGGTCTCCTTTGGAGGCGCTCGGGTGGCTGTTAGCAATTTCTCACCCGTCCTGGCTGAGCCCTTGCTCGCCCATCTGTCCTGGTGAAACTAGAAAGGCCTCTGGGCCACTAGTAATCCCTCAATCATAAAAAAGACTAAATAACAGAAATGAATGGAATTACTCCAAATAAGTTAACAGTTTCTGCAAAAGTAACTTCCGGTATGTATCCAGCTTCAGTTCTTGAAAGAACTTGGGCTCACTAGACACATTGTTACTAGGGAGCACCTTTGTTAAAATAGTTTAGCTGAAGAATAATGGCAGTTTCAAATTTTCTGAGAGTGTAATGTCTTATCTAATAATTGAATGGTCACCATAAAACCTGATTGACGTGTGTAGTTCAAACCAATTCTATGTATAATTATAGTTTATTACGACACATTATCTATAAAGTTATTAACATATTTACTGAAGCACAGCTAATTTAAAATGTTTATCACCATAAAACAGTCAGAATGCATGAAATAAAATGTTATATACATTTGTTTAATGAGATCTAATGGTTCAATTCTAAAATATTTTTCTTGTTCATAAATGTTAATGTCATTAGTCATATCTTTAACACGTAGTTTAGAAAGCCATTTAATATATTATGTGACTCACTGGTTTTTTTATTATTAGATTGAATAAATAATAACCCATATCTCAAACACTACATACTACATACATTATCTTGTTCAAAGTTCAAACTATTTTTTCTTTTTTTCTAAGAGATTGCACCATATATTTTATAATGAATACAAAATTTAAAGTTTATTTCACATTAGTGATTTTAATCTAGAATGTTTTCTGGTATTTTGATTATATTAACAGTTTTAATCATCACTAATGTGTTTTCTGTCCTAATTTAAAAAGGTCAACACGCTTTGGCAGAAAAGTATGCAGCAACTGTTTAAATATAAAATTCAATTGAACTCCATGATTTTCTAAGATCTTTATGCATTTTGCCAACTATTTGACCTGTCACTAGATTTACAAGCAAGTACTTTTTATTTATTTCAATTAGAATACTGTTCTGTATACATTTACAAAACATGTAACAAAATATCATATGGATGGATATAGATCATATGGATAATAACAATGCTGATATTGAACATAATACTAAAAATTGCTATTCCACAATGAAACATCCATCAACTGACATCCTCTGCCTCAAAGGAGGGCTGGAAACCACAGCACCGGCTGCCATTAGATTCTATTTATTGCTCATAAAATATTAAAATATTAAAACTACAAATATTTATGGTAACCTTGACAACTACTGTTTACTATTTATGCTTAAATTATTTGTTTCAGCATCAGGAAATTGACTTAGAACAATACTGTTTGAGCAAAATGCTTGTGATATATGAAAAATATTTAAAGGTTTAATTTTTTGGCATTCATTTTACATCTAAACAGACTTGCCATTATCAATATTCATACACTGCTAGCTGTTTAACAATAGTGGGAATAACTTCAGTTTCTATATACCCACACATTCTCACACACACTCATATAATAGTCTTTTCAGCTATTCTATATTTCTATACATTTAGATTTAGAAGCAAGAGGAAATGATGTTCTATTTCTTTTTTCTCTGTATGCATTTTTTATATTTAATTTACAGTTTAGCAGATTTTATAATTCCTATTTCAAGTATTTGAGCCTAACCTGGATGACTTAATGGACATTTCACAAGTGAATCTGTGAAATTCTAAGAATAACTGAGTTTTAATTCAACATAGATCTCTATAAAAATAAGAAAGTAGATTTTTGTAAAACAAATGCAATATCTACTATGTAAGCTGTAAACAAAGACTATCTAGTTTTACAAATTAAATGTTGGTGTAGACTATATAATTCAGTCAATGACATAAGTGAATTTTATCTTGAAAAGATACATAGTGTCCATGTGAGAGGAAATTATGTATGTGTAATCACTGGATAAAATAATTCACTTCAGATCTCAATGGTAATGATGTTTTTAAAATGTTTTCCTTTACATTCTCTATGTTATCAGCATTATGTTAGAAAGAAACATTTATTGGCATCTTTCTTATGCGTTATTGCTTTCATTAGTAGTGTCAAAGTACAAATAGATATTAAGTGCCATATTCTAATCTCATACTAGTTCATATTTGTTCAGTGACACAATCTTTATGTAATGAGTTCAAATTTGAATCAGGGACTAATTTAATTACACAACACAAAACATTAAATCAAACTATGGAAATTTCTGGAGGAATTATCTCTGCTATGTGTCCTTTGTGTCTGTCAACATAGATATGTCAGCGTTAAATGGAATTAGATAAAATATTTAGAAGAGATAGTTTGTATGATATTAGGATATACGCACCTTCTACTCTAAATATCTTCGACTTTATCGCGAACACGGTGTCCGATGGTGACACGGTCATTTCAAAAGCAGTACCCGTGAGCGTCTCCACCAGCACCTCCATCGTGGCCTGACCACCTTCTTCCTGGAATCCCTTCGATCTACTCGAAAGTCTCTCAGGGCATCCATGTTGTGACATTTCACACACTATAAGACCAAGCTATCTGCACCACATTGCACTTCACGGAAACGTTCGAATCACAAGACACGATCACACAACGACGAAACAAATTAACGTTACGTCGACGATCGTGAACAAAAGCGGTTCATGTTTTTTCTATTATCTTTTATGCTAACACTATTAGCGAAATAACAAAAATTTACATGCAAATCTAAATATATAGCAAACAAAATTAATTATAAAACACGAAAATAAATTGGTCGTGAATGACAGACGTATTTTTTTTCTTTTGATTGAAGAGTGGAACTTGAATGAAATACCACAGATTATTAAAAAAAGTTACAAATTTTTAGATGTCAACTGTCAAAAAAATGAATGAGAATGTCTTTGTTTAATCCGAAATACGCAATTTTGCCATTTTTTCATCAAAAGTGGTAGAAATAGATTACTATTTTTAAAATTAGGAAAAAAAAAATTGCAATAAATTTTCATAACCGAATTGCAAGATTGGAATTTGGTTTAAAGGCGGTGATTTATAAAATATTAAATTTTTAGATTTTCAAAACTTCTAGGGAAGATGAAAAGACATTATAATTTTCAGAAATAATGATTAATGCCCGAAAAAACTAAACGAAATCTTGAATATGGTAGTATCGAAATCAGCACGATACGAACCAACAATTCCAACAAATCGGAAATCGTTCGATGGTATCGAACCGGTCACTTCGATATTTTTGCTCCCGTATTGTCTATTCCTGAATGAAAGTTCTTTTCCGCCGTTCTTTGTTCACCGGATCGGAGGTTAGAAACATGGTGCGTAAAGTTTTTTAAAATAACTATTCTAAATACAATCTAAATTAATTTAAAACTACGTGAAATATCCACTGGTGTCTTCAACGTGTGATGAAAATCACAATGTGTAGTGTCAATGCATTTTCGAAGATTTAGCCAACGTTGTCACCTCGAACATGTGGTCTGAATGGTTGATTATGTTTTCAGACTCGTAAGCGCCGTAATGGAGGACGCGCCAAGCATGGACGTGGTCACGTTAAAGCCGTGAGATGCACAAACTGCGCGCGGTGCGTGCCAAAAGACAAGGCTATCAAAAAGTTCGTGATTAGGAACATCGTAGAAGCGGCGGCGGTCAGAGATATTAACGATGCCTCTGTATACCCAAGTAAGTATAACATGACAAAATTTAATTTATTCTTAATCTAAATGATATGTTCAGCAGCAAGTATCTTTGATGTCTTCACAACTTTTAAGTGTCTTTGATTAAGTTCTCTTTAGCAGCCATTTTACTAATGTTTTATAAAAGTATACACACTGAAATTCATTGATAATAAGTAACAGACATATCAGCCAGCTACGATATCTATTGCTGCATGTATAACTGCAAATATATGTCAAGGAACTGCAACTTTGAATTTTATTAAATAGCTTAATGGTACAATTAAATCACAGCAATGGGTCCACCAATTGATAGATTTTCAGCAGTACACTTATTGTAATAGTTAGGATATTAAAAAAATTCAACATTAAAATGATAAAAGACAAACGCTAAACACCTCTTCATGTTTGAATAAGAAAGACAAAAGCCTTTACAAAATAGCCTTGTGGCCATGTGGGCTTTTACAAGATCAATTCTTTGCTTGATTCATCTTTAGAATAGTAAAACAGATTAATAAGCCACTGTTATGGTTGATATTTTTGACTGACTACTTGCAAATAGTCATTAACTCTTCTCTTTACCTTTATCAATGGTCCAATGTTACTTTACAGGTTCTCAACTCGTTCTCTTAACAACCATATTTTGTTTTATTAATAAGAGCAAAAAAATGTTTTTCAGTGTTCCAGCTCCCTAAGTTATACGCTAAGCTCCACTACTGCGTGTCATGCGCCATCCACAGCAAAGTTGTCAGGAACAGATCGAAGAAAGACAGAAGAATCCGTACTCCTCCCAAGAGTAACTTCCCTAGGGACATGTCACGTCCACAGGCAGTGCAAAGGAAGTGATTTATTATTAAATAAATAATAAAATAACATTTTTGTTTCTATCAAATCCTCTATGAAATATTCATCTACTACATATTTGGAAAATATTTTGTCTTGTATGGGTTTTTCTACTTTGTGCATTTTGAGGCAGTCTTAACGCCTCACAATTTGTTGAAAGTATAATTTTCAATTCTGATTTTTTTAGTTATCAGGATGAATGTTCTTAAAAGTCCAAGCCGTTTATTTTTATTGATTACTGCTGAAAGATCTACTCAACGAATCTTAATCAAAATTGTTTTTTTTTTTTAACCTACATTAGAGGCAGCCTGTAGGTAATCAGAGTTTGAACAATGTTAGGTGATGTTCCTATTTAGTCCATAAATTAGTAGGTACATAATTTCAAATTAACATTACAAATAGGTTCGGTCAGAGTAGGTACATAATTTATTTTTATTTCTCATAAAAAATCATAATTTTGATCCACCACTATAATAATATAACCATTCGAAAAGCTGTTCCATATCGCATCATCCCAAAGTAAAATGGCTGCGATATCCGAACAAGTGGAAATTACAAGAATTTCCTATTTTAATAAGGAATCCACAAAGTGAAGATGAAAATCAACTCACTATTTAAGAGTCACAAACATAAAGTAGGTAGGTACTCATTCTAGAGATCTCCAAAGAACAATACTATCTAATTAAATAAAATAGTAAATATATCGTCATTCATATTTATTTAACGCACTACTTATATAATGAAATACTTCAATTTGTTAAAAAATTGCCTAATTTCGAAGTTTATTGAATTGATATCTAGAACGCTTTTTTGTTCAAATACATTGCGCTTTCAACACACCAAACTGTATTTAACAGTGAGTCCAGATGCTTAATTTGCTCTAATTCATTAAATCGACTGAAAAACCATACATTTATGTTCATACAGCTTGGTTTTCTTGCCAAGTCTTGGTCTCGAAGTATGCCAAGTGAGGGACCAGTGTAACGGCTATATGTAGATCTAATTGAATTGTTTTGCAATTGTTAAATACCCATGTTTGATTTGAATGATTTATTTCTATGATTCTAATAAAAAATTAAGAGTCGAAGATACTGAATATAATAGTTTCCAAATAAATCGAAAATAATTTAACTTTTATTTGTCAACTATTTATGTCGACTACGAGCAATGGCGGATCCAGGGGGAGGGTCATGGGGGTCATGACCACCCCCTGAGCTGGGTCCAGGACTTAGGTGGACCACTAATTGAATATAATGATTTTATTTATATATTTTGTCACCATACAGATTTTATGTAACTACATACCTTCAATATTTAATTAATTTAATATAATATAATAACTTTGTATAATGGAAAACGTTTGGGAACGAACGCATCTAAATTTGACTATGTGACCCCCTCCTGGCGCCAAAGCTGGATCCGCCCTTGACTACGAGCTATGCTCAGATAAGAGATTTTCGTAGTGGTTTTCTGCTTGAAACAACTATCCGCGCCGCCACCGTGACTGGGTCAGTCATAATTACTGTACAGACATTATTGGATTATCTTCATTAGTTTAATTTTACGAAATACTTTTTTAAAGCAACGCTATGAAATGAAAATTATATGAATAAATAAAAATAAAATGACGTAACCAAACCTCAAATACTGTAATCTTATCCAAAAATAGATTTTGAAAAGATTACAAATTATAACAGGGAACAGCGCATATAAGCAGAGCATAGTTCTATAAACTACATTCGTTCAAGTGGATTGATTAAATAAAGTCTGGCACAACGAAGCATAGCTTCAAGAGCCAAACCTTATTATTTATTTTTGATGAGGTAGAGGGACCTGCGAGCCATACCTACAGTTCTAAATACCTTTTCTATTTAATTGGTAAATGAGCTGACGATCCACATGGTGGTACGTGGTACCGGGGTCTACAGACATCGGCAATGTGAATGCTGCCACTCACCTCAAGACAAAGAATTGAATCGTATAATTGAGGCCTATAAAATCAAAGGCAGCTAAACGCCTTAAAGTCGTAAAATGGATTAACAATGGCGCTATCTTGTTTAGTTAGTTGGTGCTTTAGTGTTTTCATGTTATAACAAATGCAGCTAAATCTCTAACAAATTCAGTTAAAAAAAAAATTTTTTACTCTGTACTAAGTACTAATAAACGAAGTTTTATTATTTAAAATTCAGATTATTAGTAATATTCTCATTCTTTATAAATCTGCTTTAAAATAAAGAATATCGTAGCTATCTGAACAAAGTTATTTCATCTTCTCTTCTGCTAGGGCCGGTGTTAGCAACACTGGCGCTAGCAAGAGCAGTACTTGGGAGGATCCGTAATGACGTGTTTAGGGCCGATTTTTGTAGTTTACGTGAATTTGACAGACTTGGATTTAGCTGCCTTTGATTTTATAGGCCTCAATTGCTGTATGGCTTCGACGCCAGACGGTACCGACTGCGTCACGGTAGAAAGCGGTAGGCTGGTGGTACTTACACGTTCGAGCTAACAATACCACCTTAATATCAGTAATTATAGCATTTATAGCAAATTGGAACTTTTATCCCTAAATCCAGCATAAGCAGGGCTGTTTCTGGTGCATATATTCTTGATTTAATTGAGAAATCCTTTACGTTTCAGTTAGTCTATATTTTTTTAAATTATAGTTGTTAATTTATGTTATTTATTAAGTACATATCATTCAATTGTTCTAATTATAACTTATTGAGAATATTGTTTTATTTAGAAACAAGGTGTTCCAGTTGACTTGAGTATAAAGGTCGTAACTAGTATCTGGAAGTTCTACTGTAAGCATGAGAATGAGTAGTAAAAGATGTATTTGTGGCAACAGATGAGGATTGTATATTTGCACTAATTTTCTTGTATTTTATATTTATTAAAACATCTTTAAAACCGTAACTACACATCGAGAAGCAAAATATTTTGAAATCTTAATTATAAAGATATAATCTATAAATTCTATATAGTATTTCAGTTACAACACTCAATAAGGAATTTTATCTATCGCCTAGTTCTTATCACATTTACAATATTGTAATACGTTTGAATAATTTCCTAGTCGGTTATGCAGTTAGATCCAAATGCCACCATGTGTACAGTGGATTAGTTGTCAATATACTACTAAATTGAAATATGTTTATTAATATAGTAACATGGCGAAGTAAAATTAATGGCATTGAACTGGTAACACTGAATGAAAAAAAATTGATACTATAGAATTTCTTGATGGATGCAATTGAAACTTTGTTGTGAGATACCATTAGCAAGCATTATCATCCCTTAAAGATTAAGGAAGAATTGTTTGTAATGAAAAATATTCTTAGTGATATCCTCACCTCAATGTCTTTGCACAATATATGTACAATATGGATCATTTTCTCTAAAATCGGACAGTTTACTATCAATATTTGAAAACTACTTATTTCTGAAAGTATCCATAATTTGTTTCGATTTTAGAAATCTAAATTATTTATTATTCCAAATTATTATATATTAGGTCAATATGCAGTGTGATTTAATGTTTTAAATTGAGAGTTCTGACTGAAATATTTCTAATTAACATATAAAATGTAGGCTAAAATTATACAAATATCAAGGCCCCTTGATTTTGTAAATAGTTTGTGGGAGATTGGTCAATGCTGGCTTGTCCACTGTCTCCAGTGCTTCTTTGAGGTTCTTCTCAAATACTTTCTTAGCGTCGCAGAAGCCTTGCTTTGTTTTGCCAAATGAATTTGGTCCAGCAGATGTTGGAGTTTCTCTGTCAAAGGCAAAACAAGAGTATTAATTTTTTGCTTGTTACCTTTTGAGTAAAATAATATTCTTGCTTATTTTAATTTTCGCTTTGGCAAGTGGTAATGACTCAATAAAATTGAGTTTTAATAATTAAATAAGTGGAATTACCCACCTCCCTATATTCCTCATTCTCATTCTGGCTTCAGCCGGCATCTCTTCAGGTTCGTCATCATCATCATCAGTATTAAACACGGACGCCACACTCGGTTTCGGAGCGGGTTTAGAAGCAGCATTTAGGTTCATCTTAATGGGAGCTTTAGGTTTATTGAAGCCAATAGATATTTTGGTAATACGAGGCGGTGGAGGTGGTGCTGGTACCTCATCATCTTCCCATTGTTCTGGCGAATTGCGAATATTTCTTTTTTCTGAAATGATTTTGAGTTTTTGGAACAATAGATAAAATGTTGTTTTGGCAAATCAATAACAAAACTGGTGCAGAATTTATTTACAGAATTTTACATTTACCTAATTTATTAATGTAATCATCTCCAAAGTTCCAAAACCGTAATTCTTTCATGATGAGCCAAAGGAGTAGTTATGCAGAGCTCCTGATGTATGTGAGTTTATATCTAAATTAGACTATACAGCACAAGTAACTCTTGTAATTTCCCTATGTAATTTACTCAAATAATATGAGTTTACAGATGAAAACTTGTAGGCCTATTTTAAATACTACATAATGGAGTATTGATTATAATAGGCAATTAATTAGTAATCATACAGGGAGATAAATTAATGTCGTAACATTGTCGATTTTCCTATTGAAATTGTTTGGTTTGCCAAGTTATAGGGACGTTATCCAATTAGAATCATGTAGAAAATGACAAAAGTCAATAATTTTATATAAATTAAAATTATTTACATCTGAATGTTTGATGGTAATGCAAAGTAATCTAAAAAGTATACCATGTTCTTTCCGATCTCTGTCCCCGGCGCTCGAAGAACTCTCTGCAGAGTAATTCCTCTTTGGAGAGTGTTTCCTTGGTGACCTGGATCTTGAACGCGAACGCTTTCTACCTCGATGTTCCCCGTACCTCTCATACTTCCTAGAATCATCACGCGTGGATCGAGACGACCCTGCCAATGTGAAAACACTGGCAAAGATAAATAAAAAGACATATTTGAGTAAATTATTTTAATAGTGTGCGGATTTTATTGATGTTAGAATTTATCGTTTTTAAATCCGCTTTATTCGAATACCTTTGCTGTAGAGGGGGTTACGACCGCTCATTCTTGTTTTTTCTTCACTTTTGTAACAATAGTCCTAAATTTAACTTTAGTAGGCACATATTTTGTACAATTTAAGAGGAAATTAACACCATAGATTATACACTTAATATATTAATACACAAATAGTAAAAGAGTTGCGTAGCCCCAAACATAGATAATACACTCATTATTTATGGCAAATTAAGGCCCCACTCTATTAGGTGTATTATCTATGCCCCACTCAGGCATATTTTTTAGAGCTGTGGCAATTCGTATGCATTTCATACTGAGTAAAGGGTAGTCCATTTAGTATCGAATACCGAAATGTTACTCACGCAGTCACGCACGAATGTAATTAGTTACTCACGTTTAATTTTAAAGTAAATTCATTTGCAAATTCAGTAGATTTCCACCAGGTCCTAGAGGTAATTAAAAGCCAGTTGTTCTTTTCAATCAATTTACCCATTAAATAAAACTAAATTTAGATTTATATTTCGACAAATCTGATTTCGTCCTGATAAATCTGGAAATATTAAGTATATAAGTGTTCTTTTGAAATAGTAGTTTAAAAACGAACATAACAACATTTCCTAAAACCAACACACGTCTTTAAAGTACCACCGCCGAGTAGACTAAAGCTAATATTATTATAATAAGATATTGATTGATTTGTAAAAAAAAAAATATTATTTTCTTTAGTCTTCGCGAATCAGAGACAAAATTAAGAATTCTAGTACTTTTATATTAAAATACCTATTTTAACAGTAACTAATTTAGAACATTATTTGATGACGAATAAAACATTATAGCCCTTGAGCACGAAAATTAATAAAAATATCCTAATGTTAGATATATTAAAATTCTAAGCGTCAGATTAAGTCAAAAAGTAATTGTAAACATAAAAATAAAGTTCACAGTTGGTAGACACCCCTACGATCTTAGGAGAGCAAATTCAACTGTGTTACACTACGTGTACTATTAATAACACTGATTAAATATTACTGCTCATTTAGAATTTTTAAACATGCGTATTAGGTTAGGAAGCAATGTTGGACGGTTAAATTTGAGGGGACTGGGTTCTGTAGGTGAGGGGCTATTTAAAAACATTCTGTTTCATGGTTAATATAATTATATTGCAAATACTTTGTACACATGTATTACACCATTATAATATTTTATTTTTATAAAACTCTTAGATGTTGCTCTGACCGTGTCTAGATGAGAAGTCATTGTGTTCACTAAAGATAAGAAAATTGTTTGTTTTAAACATTTAAAATAATTCCAATATTCGAAACCTGTAACCTTACATGTGTCAAGTGTTGCCTGCAATGATATGGAAGGTAATTCATTTATGAAGGTCAGGTTAGTGTTAGTGTTGGGCCCGCGGTCTGCTCACAACACCATGCAGATCGTTGAGTCTCACATACCCCGCGCGCCCCTTTTGCGCGGGGACCTCGTAGGAGGTTCGGCCCTCTACACGAAAAAAAAAAAAAAAGGTTAGTGTTATTTTTTGGTATATTGTATTAAATTATATACAGGGTGTTAAATGTATGCAAGTATTGAGGGAGTGTGTTGGAGTTTGAATATGAATTGACGTAATGACGTTCATATTCAAACTCCAACAACTACCATTACTACAACCTTGTTTCGTTGTTAAGAACAGTAATCAACTTATACACATATGTGTCATAGAACAACCACCATTTTACTGAGGCTTTATTTTATTTCAACTCGTTTTACTTTCATCCCAATTGATAACAGTCTCAAAAAAATAAACTTCATCCCACTCCCCTCTATATCATTTTCTATCATAAAACAAAATGTTTTTATTAATTGAAGATTTTTATAAAGTGGTTCTGCTTTTGTTAAGAAATGATTGATTATCTGGGCTTTGGTTTCTTTGCTAGTTTATATGTATCGATTAAAAAAAAAGTTATACTATTTTTATTTTTATGTCATCAGTCATCATGTAATCAGCTGAGCATCACCCAAAAGAAAGTTTAATTAAAGTTAAACATACATACTTATGAAACGAAATCAGTCAGAATAATATGCTAAGTACGTGCCTACATAAGATGTTGATTAAATGTTACTTATAAACACACAAAACAGGAAAAAAATCAAACATAATTTTACACGAAATGAATATTTTGCTACGAATACAACGCCTAACAAGGCTACCTAACAAAAAATCTTTAGAAATTTGTAAACGTTACACTAACAATGACCGCGTTAGTTATAAAAATAAAATAAAAAGTGGTCCCGGATTGAAAGAGTTTATCATAGGAAACGTCGACCCGGTTAATACGGATGTACCATATATTCCCTATTTGCGCCAAAACTTACTGATACCAAAAAAAAGAAAAATTTACTTCGATGTGTACGGATGTCAAATGAATTTGAATGACACCGAAATAGTTTGGTCAATATTAAAAAATGAAGGTTTTGAGAAGACGGAAAACGAAGAAGACGCTGATGTTTTCCTAGTAATGACGTGCGCGATCCGGGAAGGAGCGGAAACTAAAATATGGCATCGTTTAGATCATTTACGAGGTTTTAAACGTAGAGCAATGAAAAATAAAAATAGACCAGTGAAAATTGGTATTCTCGGCTGTATGGCTGAGAGATTGAAAGAGAAATTAATTGAGAAAGAGAAGTCTGTTGATGTTGGTTAGTATAATTTTAATTTAACAATATTAATACTGTCACCTGCCTTGACACATATGGACTTTTCATTGTATTGTTTATTACCCACCACCCACCACCACTTTAAACCAGAATGAATAAACACTTGTAATAAAAAAAAACAAAGATAAAGTGGTATCCCGTCTAAGCTCATATAAAGCCCTAATCAAAAATGTTTAATTGTGTTCACTAATATAAATTAAGTTACTAACGTAACATTGTGTATACTTATTCAGAATTGTATGAAAAACATTATGTTCTTGGAACTAGAGCACCTATATTTAATTGATCATACTATACCATGAGTGCAATCCTGTGTATAAGCTACTACACTGTGAAGTTCATCAGTTAGTCTGTTAGATTTTGTGCAAAAGAGTAATAAACATCTAACCTCACCATCTCACATTCCACAATATTCATTTGAAATACTTACCATTGAAAAGAACTCTTATTTTAAAAACTATCTTCTTGTAGGCTAAGTTTTGCTATTATTAAGATGTTAGAAGTAGGATAGTAGCTCTGGTGATATTCTCATCTAACTTCTGTAACTCCTCCTATTTTGATTGATAGAAATGTGTATTGTGAGGCAGTAGTGGATTTGGTAAAACATTACTTAGTTGCAATATTATTTATGGCGAAATACATTAATCTATTACATAAATTAAACACTGTAAATATTTTTCAGTGGCAGGACCAGATAGCTACAGAGATCTTCCACGGCTACTGGCCCTGACTGATAATGGGCAGACAGCTGTCAATGTCCTCCTGTCATTAGATGAGACATATGCTGATGTGGTGCCAGTCCGATTAAACCAGGATTGCATTTCGGCCTTTATGTGAGTAAGTTAATTTATTCTATCAATCTGTAAATACAATGCATCTCTTATTTTGTATTTATTAATAACAAGTTTCCATAAACGGATCAGTATCACAACAGTTGTTCCTTATAAAAAGTTGTTTCCTAATGAAATTTGAGCAGGCTATGCATCTTAAAAATTTCACTAAAGCTTAATCAGTCAAAGTAGTTTAATTTTCGATGTCCATAGTGGAGAGTCCTTTACGGTAAGCAGCAGGTTGTCTTTGTCCCTGGCATTGCTAACATCCATGGGCGACGGTAACCACTCACCATCAGGTGGACCATATGCCCACATTGTATACATTTTCAGTTCTATAATGCGCGGATGCGACAACATGTGCACATACTGCATAGTGCCATTCACGAGAGGCAGAGAAAGGTCCAGGCCGGTCGACTCCATTGTGGAGGAGGTTCAGCAGCTTGCTGACCAGGGAGTCAAGGAGGTCACACTGCTGGGTCAAAATGTGAATAGTTACAGAGACATTTCCAAGGCTACTGAAAAAACTAATACCAGTGTTGCTAAAGGCGAGTGATTAACATAGAAATCTTCAATAAGTACCAATTATAAAAAAGTGTCTAGTTTAATAAAAATATTATTGGAAAATATTATTGAATTATATATACTAAATGTTCAGTAGGGAGTAACCACTTGGCATAAGGTTAGTTGTGTACTCGTTAATGTAATATTAATAATAAACAAAAACATACATTAGCTTCCATGTCCATAAATTCCAATGATATTGTTGTTAATATTGCTGTTAATATTCAAACAGTTCTGATCTAAAGTACAAATATACACGTCTGCAGGGTTCAGAACGGTGTACAAGAATAAGAAAGGCGGTTTAAGGTTTGCTGATCTGCTGGATAAAGTGTCCTCTGTTGATCCTGAAATGCGAATCAGGTTCACTGCCGCACACCCCAAAGATTTTCCGGATGAGGTAGATATGAGTGCATCTAATTACATTTTGGGCAAAATGATACGAAGTTAAAACTCAATGGTTTCAGTGTTTATAAGCTCTTTAGTGTCTGTGTATCCGAACAAATAGAAACACTACGTCTGGGGGGTAGTCTCTAACAGCAAAAGTTCTCATCCGGGGCGGACGAGAAAGTGATGACCTTCATGATCCCGGGCCTCTCAGTTGTTTTTAAGCCCTTTGATTTCCAGCAGTTGTTCTTTAAATCGGAATTAATTAAAACATGCCTACCACTGGAGCAAAGCTTATAAGGATCCAGAGGTGAAGATTGAGGTGCGCGTGTTATGTTCCTGTAGGTACTACAGATAATATCGGAGCGTCCGAACATATGCAAGATGTTGCATCTGCCAGCGCAGTCTGGCTCCACCGCGGTGCTGGACCGGATGAGGAGAGGGTACACCAGGGAAGCCTACTTGGAACTGGTCGACCACGTCAAGAGCTGCATACCGGCCGGTAAGTTTTACTGTAGAGGGGCGCACAGTGGACTGCATGAAAAGTGCTCAGAAATGTAGCAATTATAAATGTACAATGAAGGCTTTGCACTCTTGTCTTGATTTGTGATCTCTATAACCTATATTGGACTTTTTGGTGGAAACCCCATATGTGAAGTTGTGTGATTTGTTTTATTTTGTCTATTTAGTGTTTCTTCAGGTTTAAATGTGTAATGACGGTGGTTTATTAACTGTTTAGTATCTGTGAATGTGCACAAATGTGGGAAAATAAAACAAAGCCACTGGGCTTCTTCGGATCCTCCAAAAAGTCCACTGAGAAAGTTTCAGTAAATGACCACCATTTTACTGAGATTATATTTCATCCCATGTCATTTCATTTCATGCCATGTTTTTTTTTATTGCTTAGATGAGTGGACGAGCTCACAGCCCATCTGATGTTAAATGATTACTGGAGCCTATAGACTTCTACTACGTAAATGCGCCACCCACCTTGAGATATAAGTTCTAAAGTCTCAGTATAGCTACAACGGCTGCCCCGCCCTTCAAACCGAAACGCATTACTGCTTCACGCCTGAAGTAGGCAGGGTGGTGGTACCTACCCGCGCGGACTCACAAGAGGTCCTACAACCAGTAATTACGCAAATTATAAATTTGCGGGTTTGTTTTTTATTACACGATGTTATTCCTTCACCGTGGAGTCAATTGTGAACATTTGTTGAGTACGTATTTCATTAGAAAAATTGGTACCCGCCTGCGGGATTTGAACACCAGCACTTTAGGCCAAGACGACTAATTAAAGGAAATCTCGCTTAAAGCAAATACCCTTTCTCCTCTCAATATAATTGATCTGGTTTGTTCATATGGTTTTCAAGTCGGTCTGTCCACGGATATGATCTGTGGGTTCTGCGGAGAAACCGAAGAGGAGTTTGAGGAGACGCTATCTCTGATGGAGCTCGTGGATTACAACACGGCGTTTTTGTTTCCGTACAGTATGAGGGAGGTTTGTACGGCATGATTTTAAGTACCTACATAATTTTTTTGATTTTCCTAAATATCTATTAAAATCTCCGCTATGAAAATTTGACAGGAAAAAAGTCCAACATTAACAAAATAGTGTTGTGTTTTCATAGTGAAATTGAATAATCGACTTTAAGACGTGACAGTTAAGTATTGAAATCTGTTGTATTAAATTGTCACACGCCATCTAGTGTCAGTCTGGTAAAATGTCTATGAGTCTGGTAATTTGTTGGTAATGGTTAGTAATACTATTTCTGTTGGAGTTTTGTTTCTGCCGTGAAGCAGTAATGCGTTTCGGCTTGAAGGGTGGGGCAGCCTTAGAACCTTAGACCTTAGAACTTATATCTCAAGGTGGGTGGCGCATTTACGTTGGCGATGTCTATGGGCTCCGGTAACCACTTAACACCAGGTGGGCGGTGAGCTCGTTCACCCGCATAAGCAATAAAAAATAGTTAGTGGACCGACAATTGGCTTATACGAGCGTATAATAATGAAGTTAGTGCTAAAAATATTACTTGTCGTTATTCTATTTTCACTATAACAGTATCTCATTTCAATTGAACACTTTGAATTGATTATAAAATAAATAAATAAAATAAAATAAAAATAAAATACTTTTATTTCCAGACATCATAGTCTCGTAGTGTGTTCGTATTACAAATAACTTAAGAACTATGTTAGTATGTATTTAAATAAATCTATCAACTCCGCCCCCGGCAGGGTCCCAGGGAACCTACCCAGGGTCGGGGCATCCAGTCTTTCAGCTAATATCCTTATTATGTTTACGAGAATAATAATAAAAAATAATTAATTGTCTGTAAAGTCTGCTTACGGACGATAGTCATACGTGATAATGTCAGTAGCAGAACTATTCGAACTGCTAGGTATGACGTCACAAGCTAACGCTTGGGCCGATCGTGCCTCTCTATCGCTTGTACGGCGCTCTCGCTTGCACGCTCAGGCTCAGGGGGAACGTGACACTTTTTCGTGCATGCAGCCGGTGTTCATCGATTTATAAGATAATATTATTACGTCAATATAGCTTGACCGGATTTGACCGAAGCCTATTGACCACCGTATTTTAAGGATATAACTAGCTCGCAGCTGATTATGTGAACTATTTTTATAGAAAACAACAGCGTACAGACGGTATGAGGACGACGTGCCTGATCACGTTAAGAAGGAAAGACACGGCCGCCTGTTGGAGGTATACCGACGGAAGAGTCAGACGTTGAACGAAGCTGAAGTTGGCAACACTCACTTAGTGCTCGTCGAGGGTGTAGTAAAAAAAACCGGGCAGCTATACGGCAGGAACGAGGTCTACATGAAGGTCGTGTTCGACGAGGGGGAGATCATGAGCGATGATGGGGGGAAGAGGGCCATGAGAATAGGGGACTACGTTGCCGTCAAGATTGTGGGGGCAAAATCCTCTGTTCTGAGCGGAGTGCCGTTGTGCCATACTAGTTTATCGGAATTTTATAGAGAACGAATTTGGGGGGAAAACAGTATTGAATTGTGATTGTATTGATGAATAGCTCTCATCGGTGCTCACATTGAGGGTTCACACAGAACTATAGAGGAGTTATAGGTGGCGCGGGAGTCGTTACAGCCATCACAGAGTTGCAGCGATTATCGACTAGGTGTCGCTAGTTGTAAATAAAAATTGTTCACAATATTTTTGTGGTTGGTTTTATTTTATCTATGTTTTTCTGTACAAAGGACGAGCTGTAAAAATATTTGGTTTCTGCGTGAATAATTTTGTAAGCCTTGCACTAAACACCTTTATCTCTAACACTAGGAGTAGGGACCCCGGTAACCGTACTCGTCGAACTCGGCAAAGAGTTCGACATGCAAGCTAACCTAAACATCAGCCCGCTGATTTTCTCGCCGGATCTTCTTAGCTGGTCGTGATTACGATCCGGTAGTAGATTCATTCGCGAAGCAGCTATTCTTGTATTGTTAGATCGCCTTTGGATGCGCTCGGGTAGCTGTTAGCAAATCCCACCCCTCCTGGCTGGGCCCTTGCTCGCCTACCTGCCCTTGTAAAACTGGAAAGGCCTCCGGGCCAACAGTAATACTTCAATCATATTGTGTGGAAATGAGGGTAAGTGTAATGAAACATTGAGATTTGGTACTAGTTAAGAGACTATGAACATTATGAAATTAAATAGTTTGTTTTTGTCTTGAGCGACATTACTTCTGTCAGACTAATGCTTTAACGAGTGAGTTGAGGAAATATTGTTACAGCCTGACCTAGTGACTAGCGGGAGCCACTTTTTTACCAATGGCCCCAGAAAGTCGTTTAACAAACTTAATGGCTATAGAAAATTGCGAAAAAAATTACAACAGCAAGTAATTCAGAGGGGAGACAGAGTGTTAGCAGAATAATGGAAACTTGATTCTTATTCTCTTGATTCTTTAATCACTTTTATGCTTTTGATCGTTCGAGAACTGTCAATAAACTTGTTTTTAGTTTAAACATATATACATACACATATCTACTTGTTTGAGTTTTAAGAAAAATATGACTAGCGATCTTTATTATTTCTCAAAGCTTGCCAGTTCCTATAAATTAAATTAATTCCTGTAAAATTTCAATAAAATAAAAATGCAAATTTAGGTGTGACACTTCAAAAGTGCAATTTATTAGACTCGATTAGTAAAAAAAAAACAATCTTCTGTACAAAGAAAACTGTAAAACAATAAATACAAAATTATTTTACATAATATTGTGTAAGTGCATCGCTTAAACACTACAAATTAGCATCTTTAATAACTCTTTGACATTTCAGTTATTGCAACTTTCAAAGTAAGGTAATCTATGGTTTGTATATAAATTTTATAATCTGTGTTCCGTTTAGGCATAATAAATTTAAAAAAAAGACAGTGAAATGGAATCTTCAAAAAAAGTGTGTGTGTCCGCTCCGACGCACGACTGGAGTTTACTGGATATAAAAAATTAAACGAAACAATACGAGAAATAGTTCTATATTACGACAACACGATACACTACAGATTATTAACAAATTAACGAGACACAAAACAAACGACTAACAAATATATGAAAATACAATAATGAGAGAAACGCGCGATCAGTACGAGGCTTTGTGGCGGACTGCCGGCGCAGCAGCCCGGCGCGCATTTCGTGTGACATGCGCAATCAGGCGCATAACGCATTTCGTGTGACATGCTAGTACGATTTTGGTCCCCATAATTTTCATACCCCGGGCCTATATATGTAAATCGATTCTAAAGGAGTAAACTCCAAAAATATAAACATTGAATTGGTGACTGGTCGTATTGTGAGTTACAGGTTCAAAGTGTGGGAGCTGTTGTACAATATAATTGAGTCTTTGACACCACGTCTCAAGGTGGGTGTTCGATTCACATTGTGATATACAGCTCCGGTAACCACTTAATACCAGGTGAACTGTGAGCTCGTTTATCCATCTAGAGAAATAAAAAAAAATTTTAGTTACATATTTAATTTTAAAAGTGTAACCTTCGCGAATTTTTTTTTTATTGCCCTTGTAGGCGGACGAGCATACGGCCACCTGATGGTGAATGGTTACCGTCGCCCATGGACTTCAGCAATGCCAGGGGCAGAGCCAAGTCGCTGCCTAAACTACAACGATTCGACAATCCATCTTGTAATTTCCAAAACCTACGGCAATTACCATAATAATGTTGATAAAACTAAATAGTTTAAGTAACTTTTTGCCCGAGTCTATTTTTACTATTGGGCACACTAAAATAATGAAGACAAAAATACCAAGTAAAACTAGATGCATCAAAATCTCTATATTTACAAAGGGACATGACTATTATAAATAAATTGAAAAAATTATGGGGTGTAGCCGTTGACTTGAAATATTAACAGGGTCACAAAGCAAGTACAGCCGAACGAAAGAATATCTTGGACTTAGACAAATTAGATATTTATTCATATGATTCATAGGTCATGGTTTCGATACGTAGGGTAATGATGTATATATATGTCAAATGTCACGTATTTAATGATGTCAAGTCCTCTTGAGCATCAATGAATTGAAATGATTCGAAAATGTTACAATTATATATTTGGATCGATATTGACGAATTACGTTTTACTACATGACAATTCAAATATTTTATTACAAAAAAAGTTCAGATAACACGAACAGAATACGGCCGATGTTCATAGAATGGCATTTTAATAAAATAAAAAAAATACAAACCTAAATTATTGTAACTTACTTTAATTATAACAATATAAGCTTAAAAATATTTTGTGATGGCATCTGTGTATACCTAAATTTGTACTTAGAACGTTTACTATTTACGTATAGTAATTGATTGATGTGCTCTTAGCGTCTGTTAATAAAATACGACGAAGCGAGGTTATTAGTCAAACTAACCCATAGACACAGCCCACTGAGTTTCTCGCCGGATCTTCTCAGTGGGTCGCGATCCGGTGGTAGATTCTGCGAAGCACTGCTCTTACTAGGGCCACCGTTAGCGCCTCTCCGGTTTGAGCCCCGTGAGCTCACCTACACGTTAGGGCGAAGCTGATATAGCCTCTCAAGGCTATAGGTAGAAAAAAAAAGTCAAACGATACCATTAGGGATAAGAGTGAAGTCCGATGTACTAGGTATCTAGTATTGTATGAGGCGACTGCCTGTATTTGATTCGATTATCGATTTTTCTATATAACGAACGTCGTAAGCGATAAAGGAATAATTTCGTGTAACAAAAATTAAACCCGCCAAATTTCTACATTGTGTAATTACCGGCAGGTAGTAGAATAAATATAATAATAATATAATAATAATATAATATAAATATAATAATAATGGTCGTTGGAGCTTCCGCGCTCACTTTAAGAAATTGGGCCCTCGGCTGATCGCGACGGCCGGCTCTTTGAGCCGGCTTCTTCCTAACGTCGGGGGTCCCGATGAGGCGGCGCGCCGCCTATACATGGGGGTGGTGCGGTCGATGGCACTGTACGGGGCTCCCGTATGGTGCCACGCCCTGACCCGCAAGAACGTCGCGGCGCTGCGACGTCCGCAGCGCGCNAAAAAAAAAAAAAAAAAAAAAAAAAAAAAAAAAAAAAAAAAAAAAAAAAAAAAAAAAAAAATAAAAAAAAAAAAAAAAAAAAAAAAAAAAAAAAAAAAAAAAAAAAAAAAAAAAAAAAAAAAAAAAAGGTAGTAGAATAAAACCGCCCGGGTAGGTTTTATTTTATCCTGCCTATTTCTGTCACAAAGCAATTATGTGTTCCGGTTTTTAGGGCGGATCGGCCTATATACAATACAATTGAGATTTTTACCATGAATCGTCAGGTTTGAGCCTCGTGAGCTCACCTACTAGTTAAGGTTACGCCGATATGATCTCTCTAAATCAACAGGTTAGGCAGGGAAAAAAAACTATGATCCAAAGTGGGTATTCACATTGTGCTGTCTAATCCACTAAGCATCTTCTAGGCCATGAATTCGCATCAAAGCGATACTAACATGAGAACAACATCATTAGCTTGCTAAGCAAACTATAGATACACATTGTTTTATTATTTCCGTTTTTCAACCATCAATGTCAAGTGAAAAAAAGATTGGGTCAATGAACTCTCTTTGAATACCAGAGGACACTCGACCAAGATAGCGAACGCCGCGTGTTATCTGGTTTGTACTGAGTTAACATTTTGCGCCTTTTTTGCTTACTAAACTTAAAGACCGTATTTTTTGCACAAATGCAAATCTATTTTTGTTTTATATAATAGCTATTGACGAGCAATTAGTATGTATTATTAAATTTATTTTCGAAACAACCAGTTTTTTTAAGTGTTAATAACAAAAAAAAAGAAATGTTTACATCAAATGGATATTGTCAATTATTATTATCTTAAGTCGATAATGGTCGAAATCAAATTATAATAATAAACACAAATCTCAAGACATTAGAACTAAGATATCTAGTAGATAAGTTCTGTGCTTTGTGAAAACTAAAATAGTATATTTTATTCTATTGTGTAGTTCGAGACTCTACTAATAGGTGACTGCTCTCAATCATTTAGTGTAATTAACAATAACATGGAAGGCAAGATCGGGATGTTACACTAAGCTCGATGCGCCCATATGTGCGACAGATTTCCCGCTACCTACATTTACTCGTTGACCAGATAAATTATCGTCCACATGCCCAGATAAACTCGGAGAAGGGCCTTGTGAGCTGCCGTACACCTTTGTACTGTAACCGGAATCATTGTGCGATTCCCGGTCGGTCTGGCTTTGGGTTTCCGTCAAATGTGTGTTTATGGCCAACGATTGCAGTCGACTGTGCAACAAACTGTGGTCTGGAGCTGGCTTCCTTACGTTTCTCGGGAACATTCCTGGATGATTGTCGTAATAACGAAGATCGTTCTGATTAGCGATCTCAACTTCGGTGTTCTGGTCCAAATGTTGGCTGTAACAATGTGGAATGCGTTCCATTTCCCTGTAGATATGGTCTTGCATCATGGCATCGAACACACCGGTGTTGTTGTGGTATAGCGGGTTCCTGCTTCGAGCCTGGACCGCGTTGGGCAAACCTGATTGGTTAAAGTCGTATGGCGTTTGAGTGTAGTGACCATTGTCCAAGTAAGGTTGTCGATTTGGTATTTCGTGGAAATATGCATCTTTCGGTATCATTGTACGTAAGTCGTAAGTGGGGGGTTGTGTTGGTGCCGGTGATTGTGACTTTCCAGACATAGTCTCGTAATTTGGCATGGGAAGTGTTTGTAGTAAGTTAGTATTTCTCATAGGACCAGGCTGAACTGAACTACGTATCGGATTGTCCTCTTCGTCGCTGCTTTCAGAATTGTTCCCATTTTCTTGAGGTGGGCTTTGGAAGGATTTTCTCGTTGGGAATGGAATTAAGTTGTGCAAACTAAAACGTTTGGTCTTCGGTGGCTTTTCTTTCAATACTGGAGCGGGTCGCTGAGGTTGTTGAGGCATTTTCAAAATCCCACTTGGACTAGGCTGTACTATGAGGTCTGGACTATCAATCGGTGGTTTTCTTAACATTTGCTCGTGAGCAATTCCTTTCTGCTGTTCAACTTGCGCTACTAATTCCTGCACTGATTTCCTGGGTCCTTCGTTAGCGTGGTAGTTTTGTTTTCGTAGCTTAACGTAACCGTCTTGAGAAATATCTAATGCCTTGGGGTTTCGAGTTGCAACCCCAGACACCTCTTTCTCTAGGTCTACTCTTTTTCGAATGTCATCAGCCGTTCTTTGCAATACTTGGCTCTTCCATGATACATTTGGTTCTGGCTGTATCCTATCTTCAGGATCGGTAGCAACGTGTGACTTAGGATCTGACAGACGACTAGGAGATACATATCTTTGATTATATGTAGGTTTCGTTTGAACCGTCATCGGTGAAGGTGATTTGGACACGGAAACTTTATTATCTTTAATATGAATCTCTGCTGTAACGTTATGTAGGCGGTTTGGGTCTTGAGGTACATGAAACGGTAGAGGAGGTCGCGATAGTCGACTGGGACCTGCGTCTAAATGGTCGGTACTCTTGGAATTCTTCAGGAAATGCCTTCGCCTTGGACTCTGTGAGCTTTTGCTATCCAGACCCTCAGTGCTTTTAGACGTCGTTTTACTGTCGTTTAAGTCTTTAGAATCGCTCTCATAATGTTCAGCATTTTTATTGAAATTTTTGACAATTTGGTTTACCCTAGTACGTTCTTCAGTGTCTAAGAACTCGAGACTTCTCGTCCTTTTCAGTGGAGGTATGTCTATTGAGCATCTAGGACTAAAGTCTGGTTTTCTCGCGCGTTCCGAAGCCCTGAACATCATCCCACGTGTAAGCCACTGTTCCAGGTGTATGTGCCGTTCTTTGCACAATGCCCTTTCTGCTGCCACGAATCTAGTTAGTTCAGATATTTGTCCTTGAGTCTTCATTTCTAGATCGGTAACTTTCTGATCTAATCGTTCATGAGCTCTGTCTATATGTTTCTTTAAGTCTTTCTTATCTTCGTTCAGTTTGTCCTCCATGTGTTTGAAGAATGGAGCACAATAGCACGTGTAGCCTGCACCTATCGGGCCCTTTTTTATGTTTCCAGCTAAGTCTAGGAAGTACTGTTCGCCTTTTCTTAATGGTTCGGTGGGTAGCGAGCTCAACCTAGGCTTTGGGAAGTATTTAGGATCGGGATAGTAATGACACCCGTATGGGGACCACGGAACTTGGGGCGTTTCAAAATGAACGTTCTTCTTTTTTTTGTCTTTAGTTTTATCTTTCTTTTTTCCGTCGTCAGGTTCATCTAAAGTTCTCTCTTTGCTTTTGTCTCGTTTTTTCTTTTGTTGTTTAGCGACAGGAGTGTTCAGTATTTGGATGATCTCTTCGAGTCCTTTCCTGGTTGCGATATCTCTTGCTGTTTCCCCTTGGTGGTTCCTGATGGATTTGTCGCAGCCCGCTTCCAAGAGTATGCGTGTTAGTTTCCTTCTTCCCATGGCTGCAGCGATGTGGAGAGCCGTGTCGCCGTTCTTGTTTTGCTCGGAGACGCGGCATTGCGCTGAGATGAGGATGCGAGTGACGCCGGCATGGCCGTAACGCGCCGCTGTGTGTAAGGATGTATCGCCATACTGTAAAGTTAAAGGAAGCGGTTATTTTTCGATTTAATTAAAATACAAAGAGCATGATTTTGTGCCCATAGACCGTATAACAGCACCTAGCCTTGATTGTATAATTTGATGGCTGTCCCAGCCTACGAACCAGAACGCATGGCTGCTTCGTGACAGACACAGGTTAGGATGATGGTAATTTTCTGCGCGGGCTCACAATAAGCTCTACATTCAACAAATATGTAATGCAATAAAAATATTTGCAATGGGCATGTTCTTCGATATACTGTTGTAATGTTGTTATTTTTTTAAGTCATCATCTGATATCCTAATCTTTATTTGCCAATTTACAAAATAGTTAAAATATTGGGGAAATCTAAACTACAATTTATATACTTCTTTAAGTAGATATAATTTTATAAATTAACTATATTTTAACACGAATGATACCCTGATTAGGATAAACGCTTCAGTAAAAGTAATGGCAGATGAAATAATTAAAATTATGATTTTAACTTTACCGTACGCAGGTATGTAGAACGATAACTTCCAACATAAATGGTGTTTACAAAATGAATGTTATTAGATATAAGGCAAAAGACATACAAGAATAGTTCAAAATATAATATAGGCCCTACATAGAAACATAACATTTATTTATTGTTTCTGGTGTTAAGTGGTTACTGGAGCCCATAGACATCTACAACGCCACCCACCTTGAGATATAAGTTCTAAGGTCTCAAGTATAGTTACAACGGCTGCCCCATCCTTCAAACCAAAACGCATTACTGCTTCACGGTACAAATAGTCAGGGTGGTGGTACACGCATCAAATGTACAAACAATATACAAATATACCGTACATTATTCTGTAAGTCCGGCGGCGCGCCAGCGAGCAAAATCTCTCTGCAGGACTGGTTGTGTCCGTTCTGACAGGCAAGATGCAGCGGCACGAAGCCGGCCGAGTTCCTAGCGAGGAGATCGGCTCCGGCCCGCGCCAGCAGCCCCACACACCTGGAGTAACCCTTCCACGCCGCCTCGTGCGCTGCTGTATTGCCGTGCTGAAATGGACACACATTTTATGATAATCATTGTTCGACTATAGTTTCGACTATCTATCCTTTACGATTTCCACCTTTTTTATTCCTATCTATTGCTAGTAATAAGCCGCCTGTTAAGGATTCCATGGACAGCCCACCGCAGGAACATCTTGGTCCTACAACAGCTTAAAATGGAGAACGCTCAACGCCTGTCTACCGCCAGTCTGCAACACATAATGCGCTACTTAATGCGCCCGAAGAGGTGTAGATAACTTAGAACATCTGATGGTCACTGGAAATGTAGAAGGAAAACGTCCTAGAGGCCGGAGCCCCAAATGTTGGTCCGACCAGATCTCCGAGCAAACTAGCAGACCACTTAACGCTGCACTGCACCAGGCAACTGACCGGAGCCGCTGGAGGCTGGCAGTCGACAAGCTGAAACGGAGTCACGATCTTCAGTAATGAGGGAGCGATGGAGAAGAAGAAGAAGAAAAATTGCTAGTAACCTCGAGGGGTTGTGCTATCGCTGGACGTATTAGCGAGCTCACGAAGCTCAGCCTGGGACTTTGCTAACACTGACCCTAGCAAGAGCAGTGCTTCGCTGAATCTACCATCGGATCGGAATCGCGACCCACTGAGAAGATCCGGCGAGAAACTCAATGGGCAAATTTTCCTAATCATTAGTCCGGATGAGCGATTCTGTTAGAAAAACACTAAAATAATCGCTACGAACAGTGTTGTTTAGCTAACTACACTGCGCAAGTCAATATTGCTAAATATGTTTACAATACGCTAAATGAATTATTTGTAAGGATACAAAATTTTACCAGTCTTCTTAATAATGTCTTGTGTACTGGGCTTCCTAAAAAGACTTGGCTTGAGTGAATTAGGACATGCGAAAGAAGGGTGTGGGTGCAGAGATGACGTATGCTGGGTGGAAAAAGAGGACATGCTGCGTCGGCCCCACATAGTGAGAGCGCAAGAAGAAGATGAAGCAATTGTCTTCTTACCAAATGATCTTGTTTGTTCGGATCAGCTCCGTGCTGGAGGAGCAGTGTGACGACTTCGACGTGTCCGTCGGCCGCGGCGCGCTGTAATGCTGTACAGCCATTCTGTCAACAAAATAGCTTTTTTAATACGCTTTTATTAGCTTCAGACGAATGTATGTTTGTAATGGAATCTTTGAACGTGATTTTGAGCCCGTTCAAAACGTCGGATTACCTCGAAATTTGTTATAATTATTAAGGACCGATGACAGTCCAAATATTAAAAAAAAATTGAAAAAATTGAAATTCAACTAAAAAATGAAAAATAAATAATAGTTCAAAAAACTAACAAAATACGCTTTTATAGAAAATCCAACTAAAAAATTGAAAATAAATTTTAATAAATTTGAATTAAAAATAGTGTAAGAAAAAATGATTTCATTGTAAAAAAATTTGATTTTTTTTAAACTATTATTTAGTTTTTAAATTCATTGGATTCATTCGGGTTGCTGCGACGAATTTGACACCTAACCTCTTTAACACGATTTTGTTATCTGATAAGGAATAAAAAAAAATTCCTACTTAATCTAGTGACCTCGAGGGACATGCTAGATGAACGAGTAAGGAATATTTGACCATCTTTTCCATAGACTTCAAGACGTCCGATTAACTAGAAAATGTGCACTTGCGTCAAGCACCGAAGATGAAACGACATTTTTATAATTTCGCTGTAATATCCCGATCCTGATCTTGCGTTTCCTTAGTTTTGAACTATTAGTTAATGAAATGAATGAATGAAATGATTAGTTATGTCGTTGGATACTTAGTATCGTTATTGCCAAACCAACATCTGCTCAGTGCCCTTTTTGTTAACTTTATTATGACATTCCATACTAATATTATAAAAGGGAAATTCAGTTTGTTTGTTACGACTTCAAGTTCAATCAGCATCATTAAATTTTGTACATACGTTGTAGTCTGAAAGACACGGAGAATCTATTCTACAGAAAAAAGTGACTATTACCGAGGTATATAATTTTTGTTTCCACAATCGAAGGGTGTCGCGTAAAGTAAAGTAAAAGCATAGATAAAACACGTTAGTAAAGTACTAACACCAAGTAAAACATTATATTTGCATAGCCGAAAATTAAAATAAATATAAATTAAGATTAGTTTTCAAAGAACTGCTTTTCATACAATTTTACAGAACGTTATTATTCAATATTTCAATTACACATTTTTTTGTCCTTAACAAAATATTGCCTTGAAAACTGCGTTATATTATTTAATTATGTTTTGGCGATTCAGATTCTGTGTTAGATTCAGCAAAGCCCTGCTCTTGCTAGGGCTACTGTTGGCAAATTCTCTCAGTTTGAGCCCCGTGAGCTCAACTACGCACGTAGTTGTAATAGCCCATAAGCTATCAGTATTTAGGTAGGTAGGAATAAAAGAAGGAAGCTGATGTATGATGGTTGCGCACGGAGACAGCATGGCAGCGATCCTGCCTATTCCTGTTGGGTCACGCCACGTTAACTGGTCCCGTGATAAGTTCGTAAAGAACTTGTGTTACAGGTACCAGATAACGGATATAAATGTAAGATTTTTATTATACACATACATATATTTAATAGACATCCATAACCCTGGAAAAGACATTTATATTTATCACACAAATATCTTCCCTCGGCGGGATTCGAACCCGCGACCCCCTTGTGTAGTGACCATGTCAGTTACCACTACACCAGACGGCTGTTAAAGTAGCCGGTATAGGATCGCTAATATTGAAATTCCCAATGAGTAAAGTGAATGGCAACTCGTTGTAAAGTGTAATCTGTGTGCTTAGTGCGAGTTTTTTAACGTTCTCGATAGCGTAAAAGTACAAAACAGCGCCCCTAGCGGCAAACGTTCCAACTCCATACAAATTTGAGTAACTTTTACGCTATCGAGAACGTTAAAAAACTCGCACTAAGCACACTGATCGAGCAATGCAACAATGTCATAGTAAAAGCACCGGTGTTCCCGTATTTTTACAAGGACCGTGGGCTTGAAGTTCCAAATTTAATAACCGCTGTTCTATCCTTTAAATTAATAATAATGACCGCTGGGCTGCAGAAATAGAATGGTTCTGGTTAACCTTCGCGAGCTCATACACAATCTACGAGAGGAATGGTAATTGCACACGAAACCTTTTGGATTTGATTCGGTTATACCAGCCTTTCCCAAAGTGGGCGATAACGCCCCCTTGTAGGCGCTGCAGGCCTAAAGGGGGGCGGTAAGAGACCCAGAAAAAAAAATAGGGATATTGTGTAGAGGTTTGGAAGGCGATTTGTAATTTCATCTAGGAGGACTCTTAGACACCGACTGAGCTCTCGCTATAGTGGTTTTTTAATAGGTGAAAAAATGGGGGCGCTAAAAAATAATTTATTCTCAAATTGAGCAGTAGACAAAATAAGTATGGGAGCCCCTGAGTTATACGAATATTGGCGGATGCGTGCATGTTGGATCGCGTATACGTTTTTTTTTGTTTTTTTTATTGCTTAGATGTGTGGACGAGCTCACAGCCCACCTGGTGTTAAGTGGTTACTAGAGCCCATAGACATCTACAACGTAAATGCGCCACACACCTTGAGATATAGTTCTAAGGTCTCAGTATAGTCACAACGGCTGCCCCACTATTCAAACCGAAACGCATTACTGCTTCACGGCAGAAATAGGCGGGGCGGTGGTACCTACCCGTGCGGACTCACAAGAGGTCCTACCACCAGTAAAAATGCCTAAAAGTGTCTTAAGACGTTACACGTAATTAAAAAGATAAAAGGTAAACGTTCTAAGACGAAATGCAAGTAGACTGTCAACCCAACGGTATATCCAAGTCAATTAAGCTGGCTGGCGCTGTGAACAATTTAACGGTAGCGATCGTACTAAAGACAACTATTTTCCGGTTCAATACTGCGACGTGTTCGTTCGTGTTACGGTTGTCGATGAAGAGTTCGGGTAAAAGTTCTGTTTTTTAGTTAAATAGGCATTTTAAGACTCTGCGTCAGAGTCGAATGTAAGGGCGATCTAAGATTCCTGATTGCGTCACGCGGAAGGATATACTGCAGCACAGAGAGTGCACCTATTACGTCCAAGTGGAAAACCTCTCATGTCAGAGGTCAAGTTAATTCCCGGGTCGCCGAGACTTTAGGTATTTTTTAAAGTAGACAGCTGTCAAAAATCGTTTACGTCTTAATAACTTTTTAGGCCATAGGTTAGTACATATACGTTGGCAAAATGAAGAAATTCAACAAATCTTTGTATTTCAGGCGTTGACTTCAGCCTATGTCTTAGTCGTAAGAGCTTTAATTCGATAATTACATAACTCTCTACTTTTTTTTTTGGAACACATGGCTTTTCGGTTATTTAAGTGCCAACAATGTCAATATCTCATTCCAGCGCAACTACTTTTCTGATAAATGAGCAGTACCATTATGAAACAGGCAGCAGTTTTAATAGAAAAACTTTTAATAAACTACCTGAAGAAGAATTCCTTATGAACAATTAATTTAATCATTTCAATGTACCTTTTCAATACAAAAACGCATGTAAAAGAAAACCCGCCCGTGTGCAAATAAAGATTAAAATCCAACATTTAGTTGAGCATGCAAATGAATGAAGAATTATCGACATTAACGATTCAATAATAAAGATGAAAGTCGCTTAATATATGTTGCAGGTGATTTCTTTAGTGAGCTGCGACCACCATAATTGGATAGTAAATCGGTCAATAAGCGTATTTATTTAATAAACGTCTTCATTTAGATACAAATTCAGTCGCAAAGGGAACGCTAACGAGGTTTGTTTATGCGCCCATTCATTGTAGGGTCCACGTCTAATAATATCTATGTAACTTCGGTGAGTACTGTATGAGCTAAATACAATTTTTTTTAAATGTTCTACTTAGAAATAGCTACATATTTTTAGTCTCAAATAAACGATTGAAACCGTAAATGCATAACTTAATTATAATAAAATGATACGGGATTTGTTGTGAATTTTTAAATTCATTTGCATAAATCAAATCTTATTGCCGAAAGCTAATAAATATCCAGATTAGAATAAAATATTAGACTGCGACATGGATTTTCTCACCTAATCGTATTTATTTATCGTTTTTCGGGGACATCGGCAAATACGCTTTTTAGCCATTTTGTTGTTTAATCCTGACATTGTGCTCGAGATACTCTGTGACAAAAATAAATTAATCTCTGAACTCTGAAGGTACACTGTATACAAACATAATCCCGAATATTGTTATATTAGTTGTCTATCGTATGTTACAATTGATCAAGGCATGTTTATTTAAATAGACATGTAACTACAATTAATTACAGAAACGTTGTCAACCGATATCTCAATCGATATTTTAATTAATTCATACAACTCTCCCGAGGCGGCCATATTTGTTGCAACGTTGATGTAACGATTCACGGAAAAGAACTAGACGTTATTTATGATACCTGTATAATATTCTTTTAGCGTTCAGTATTAATAAAACAAAAATTGTTGGTAATAAAATTTTAAGTTAAATACTATTAAAATGCCGTGGCAATTTGCTTTGTCGATCTCTGAGGGCCAGGTTAGGTAGATTGTACGCTATAGCTAAAAGGAAAAAAGATATGCTGTGGTCTGTGGTCTTGCTAGTTTTGTAACCCACCGCATAAACAGCATAAGTGTTCTTTAAAGCCTCACGGGCTCTGTATCAGAAAAATATTATAAACTTTTTGAATACTAACGTCGCAAACAATTATTTGAATTTTTTATTAAAATGATCTAAAAGATAATTATTCGATTAATTAGATTAATTATATAATTAATCGTATAGATAAGAGATAAATAAAATAGATTTTAGAGGATCGACAAAAATATTATTTTAACGTTTTATCCAAATAAAATTGCCAATACCATAAACAAACATTGAATTGACGTTACAAAACACGCAAATGACATATCTAGTACGCATCGGAATGTAGCATCGACGTGAACGAGTCGGCCATGTTTTTAGTTGCGACTTTCAACCGATTGCAGACTTGTAATTAAATACTCGGATAGTATTATTCTTTAATATGAAACATAAGTTTGTTTTT